GTTAAAATATTCTTTCATGCATTAAGTGCCTAGTTCAACTCAAAAAAACCACAAGGGCTCTTCCATATCCAGTGGAAATGCTTTATGCTACTTCCCATTTCACCACTCAGAATGTTAAAAAGACATGGACTCAAAGTTGAGATTTAATAAAAGTCGTGATTTTTACTGCTTCATTAAGGACATCTTTAAGTGAACTGAATTTTTTAAAAAATGTTTTAGCTTTCCTTCTTCTCCCCAAAACCCCCACTACGTAGTTGTGTATTCGAGTTGTGAGTCCTTCTAGTTGTGGCAGGCGGGATGCTGCCTCACCATGGCCTGATGAGTGGTGCCATGGCTGCACCCAGGATCCGACCCAGCAAAACCCTGGACCACCAAAGCGGAGCGTGCAAACTTAACCACTCAGCCACAGGGCTGGCCCCTGAATTTTTTTATTTTATCTGTGAGCATGGTGATGAAGAACATGACCACTAGTCAGTTTTGTGACCCTGCCTTAATTTGTGCTGCAAAAACACCAGCAATTTTACCCACTGTCACTTTTCACCATCGGTGTAAATGTCAACACAGTGAAAAGGCAAATAATATCTTAGTATTATATGAAAGTAGTTTTGTCTTCACAGGAAGTGAACTATACTTCGAGAATTGCTTCAAAATGCTTACACCCTGTTGCTTGGTATGCTGATGTTAGCTATTTTCTATTGACTTCCTGTTCCAGAAGATGGGGTTTTAGCACTCCTCACTAAATGAGCACCTCCATTGTTCCTTCCTTCGTTGCCTCAATAAAATCATATCATACTGTTGTTTAAAAATATTTAATGTTTACCTTTTTGTTACTATATAAGCATTATTCACGGCCAAGCCCAGAAGGGTAAAATGAATGTTTTCTTGCTTGTGTAACTTTTTATTTTGACCTGGAGCTGATTACTGTCTTGTTTTCTCACGTGCTTAGTTCTGTGGTCCTATCACAAATATGTCTCAATTCTCCAATACATTTGTAAAATATCTACTAAATATTCTGTTTCATGCAATTAAGCCACCAGGCCCATCTGTTTTTCCCTAGGGAAGTCTCTCCTGAAGCCCTTCTTCCTCTTGCTCCAATACGGACCAGCTGTTCAGACATCTGGCAACTCAGCCTTCATCCTAGGACATCCTCTAAACTGCTCTGAAGAGAGGATGTGACCTGCTGTGGGGATCTAAATGCTCATTTTCCAAACTTGAAATTAGTTTCCCTGTTTTAAGCTCTGTGTATCCTCCCCCATAGTGTGTCTCCACATCCCCGCACTTGTGTCTCCAAATCCTAAAACTTGCTGGGGTTCTGCCACAAAGACTGGCTTCTTTCGCTGACACCCCCAAGTAGGCACTTGGTTTTCAGATTTTTCTACTCTCCTGACTCCTCAGTCTGCTTTCCACCTTCCGAAAGTTTTTGAGGTCTCAGGCTTGCTGTTGTCTCCCTACCTATTCTTTTTGTCCTTGTGCTTTTATACCATTTTAAAATTCCTTTGTTCTAATTTAAGAGGCATTTCAGGAGGGACGTAAAGGTTAACGCATGTGCTCAATATGTCATGTTTGACTGAACGCCCACTATTTGTTTTTGGAACTATACATGCTCTGAGGGTTTGTTCACACAAGCTCTTTGGGGTCTTGTTGAGATTTATGCTTTGGGAGATTTATGAACCCATTTAAGCAGCTGCACACACTGCTAGTGCCACATCAAATCAAAGACTGGCATAGAATTTGTTGAAGCGAATAACAAATACTCACAAAATATTAACAATCAATTCTTTCCATCATTTGGTCTTTCAACAAACCCAACACATATTTTCTACCTGTACCAGGGCACTGTTGTAGGTGCTAAGTTTATAGTGGTGAATAAGACTAAGGTCTTCTCGGGGCCGGCCCGGTGGCGCAGCAGTTAATTGTGCATGTTCCACTTCGGCGGCCTGGGTTTCGCTGGTTCGGATCCCAGGTGTGGACATGGCACTGCTTGGCAAAGCCATGCTATGGTAGGTGTCCCACATATAAAGTAGAGGAAGATGGGCACGGATGTTAGCTCAGGGCCAGTCTTCCTCAGCAAAAAGAGGAGGATTGGCAGCAGTTAGCTCAGGGCTAATCTTCCTCAAAAAAAAAAAAAAAAAAGACTAAGGTCTTCACATGGACTTTCAATCTATGGGGGGAGTAACAGTAACAAAGTAAACATGTATATAAGATAATTTCAGGTAGTAGTAAGTATTGTGAAGATAACAAAAGCGGGTAATTAGATAGAGCATCTGAGGATAAGGGGACTATATTCGGAAGAGGATCAGGGAAGACTCTCTCAGGAGGTCACATTTGAGCTGAGGCCTGACCGATGAAAAGGACCTATCTTTGTAAAGGTCTGGGGGAAGAAGATTTCAGGAAGCACAAAAATCCTAATGGAGGATAGCTAATGTGTTCACAGAATAGAAAGAAGACCAATGAGATTGGAACATAGTGAAAGAAGAGTGATGAGAGAAGGAGTCCAGAAGTCAGGGCTGGAAAGGCAGATTTGGATGTTATCCCAAATAGAGGCGATACTTGAAACTATGGGATGAGATAAGATGGCCAACAGAGAGAGTACAGAGAACTGTGCTAGGTACTGTGGACGCTACAGAGCATATAATGCGCAGTCCCTACCTTCAAAGAACTTACCAAAATCCAGCGAAATTGGTGAGACAAGACAAATTCCCAAAATAGGGAATAATAAAAGATAGTGTATAATCAGGTCTTTCATGACATAGCACAGGTTTTCAAAAAGTGGAGTTAGAGAAAGTAACAATCATTGAGAATTGATGGTAAAAGGTACTTTGTGTAGGAGGTGATATCTGAGCCAAACTTTGATAAATGAGTTATATTTCCAGTAGCTAAAAGGCAGAGGAAAGGAATCTCATATGAAGAGGAAAACGTGAGCAGAGACTTGAATGTAGGGGTGAATATGACATATTTATGGAACAGTAGAGGAATGTTCGACTGTTGGGAAGTAGCTGAATAGGTGAGTTTTCTTAAATGTGCTCCAGAATGCTGCTTTATAAATGATGGGAAAGAGGGATTAAAGCGCTGAGTGGTTAAATCTGAAACTGCAAGAAAGATTAGCAATTGCCAAGACTGCTTAATTTTTGACATTGAATAGTCGTAACACCTCCCCACTTAATTACTTTTTATTACAATGTTGATTAATAATTATTATTTCAAAAAAGGGAAACAATATAAAAAGAGGTACACTGAGACATCACACTCCTATCTGTCTTCATCAGTCTGCTTTCCCCTCATCCTCAATAGGTAGCCGCTTTTGATTTTCACTTCATTCTTTCCAGTTTTCTTTCTTTCTTGCAAATGCAAACAATATGAATAGACCTTATTTCTTGCCCCCTCTATTCGTTTTCTAGGGCTACGTAACAAAGTGCCACAAACTGGATGGCTTAAACAATAGAAATGTACCGTCTCACAGTTCTGGAGGCTGGAAGTCTGACATCAAAGTGGCAGCAGGGCCTTGCTCCCTCTGAGACTCTGGGCAGACTCCTTCCTTGCCTCTTCTAGCTTCTGGTGGTGGCTGTTAATGCTCGGCATTCCTTGGCTCGCGGCTGCATCCAATTTCTGTCTCTGTCGTCACACGTCATTCTTCCTGTGTGTCTCTGTCTCCACATGGAGTTTTCCTCCTCTTGAAGAATCCCATTCATTTTGGATTAGGGCCCACCCTAATAACTTCATTGTAATTTGGTTATACCTGCCAAGACTCCATTTCCTAATAAAGTTATATTCTCGAGTCCTGGGGGTTAGGACTTCAGCATATCTTTTTGGGGGAGATAATTCAACCCATAACACCTACATTTCTTATGCAAAAGTTATCATTCTATATGCACTATTCCGCACTTTACTGTTCAAATTTTACCTATGCATCTTGGGGTTCTTTCTTCATCAGTACACAGTGATCTTTCTCACCCTCTTTAGAGCTGCATAGTGTTCCATTATTTCATCAGTCTCCTAGTGATATACACTTGGGTTGTTTCCAATATTTTCTTATTTAAATAAGTAACTTGTATATTTTTCATTTTGTGTATATGCAAGTATATTTGCATGATAGAGTCCCACAAGTGGGATTGTTGTGTCAAAGGTTAAATGCATCTATAATTTTGGCAGCTATTGCCATATTCCTTTCATAGAGTTGTAGCATTTTACATTCCTATTAGCAGTGTATGAGAGTGGTCAAACTTTTAGACTTTTGCCATCTGTTACATGAGAAATGATATTTCCATATAATTTTAATGTCTATTTCTCTTATCACACATCTCTGCATTTTAAACATTATTTTATGTGTTATTTTGTGTAAACTTTTGGACAAAAGGTTATTTTGTATTCCTTAACATAGTTAACATGTATAACCATGTTGTAATAAAAATTTCTAACTTTAAGTTACAGATTTAAAATAAAATACCATAGCATACTTCACTTAGGTTATTCGCCAGGGTTGGGCCACTCCTGGGAGAATATGACCCAACCTTCTTATTCTGATGACTCAAGTAACCAAACAAATTAAGTTTATTTAGCTAGGTCAGATGCATTTTGATAGTAGGGAATGAGTGCACTCAATTTCACAAACCTTTAACATCCCTCAGACTCTCTCCAAATAAGCTAAAGTAGCACTTATTTAATGTGTATTAAGGAAAGCTGTAAATCTTTTTTTTAGGAGAAGCCAAGTTTCATATCAAAGATTCTGCTTGTCATAGTTAGCTGTGTTTGCTTTCTCATCCATCTTCTCTCAGTTGTATCATTCTTAACAGGAGCCACTTTCTAATTTCCTGAGTAAAGTGTCAATGTGATTTGAATACTGCCAGCTTTTATCATTGTTACAAGCAAATTGTATCATAATAGTGGATTGTTTAATATTTTGACAATACGTTTGTCACAGTTCTCTTCTTCGGGAACACCTGGAGCCATCTATGTTATTAATTCTCACATTTCAGTCATGTCCAATATTCCCTTCCTCGCAGGTGGTACTGTGAAGGCAAGGAGCTTGAAAATTCCCCAGACATTCACATCATCCAGGCAGGAAATCTGCACTCACTGACCATTGCTGAAGCCTTTGAAGAAGACACAGGACGCTATTCCTGTTTTGCTTCTAACATCTATGGGACAGACTCAACTTCTGCTGAGATTTATATAGAAGGTAAAGCAAAATACTCTTAGATCATGGTACTTACTAGTAAGACATATAGTTATAATAAATAAATATTTATGAGGGCCTACTCTACCACACACTATTTTAGGCAGCGGGAATACAGCAGAGAACCAAATACAGTTATGCACCACATATCAACATTTCAGTCAACTGTGGACCACATATACAATGGTGGTCCCATAAGATTAATACCATGTAACCTAGATGTGTAGTAAGCTATACCATCTAGGTTTGTGTAAATACATTTGCACAATGGTGAGATTGCCTAATGGGGCATTTCTCAGAAAATATCTCCATCATTAAGCGACACATTACTGTAGACAAAAATCCCTAGGGGCTGGCCCCATGGCCTAGTGGTTAAGTTCAGTGCACTCTGCTTCAGTGGCCCAGGATTGGTTTCCAGATATGGACCTACACCACTTGTTTATCAGTAGCCATGCTGTGGTAGTGGCTCACATACAAAAAATAGAGGAAGATTGGCAAAAGATGTTAGTACAGGGCGAATCTTCCTCAGCATTAAAAAAAAAAATCCCTAGTTTCATGGACAGATGGAATTTATGTTGTAATGGGAGAGACAGAAAATAAATGAGATAAATAAGTAAAATACATATAGTAGTCCCACCTTATCCACAGTTTTGTTTTCCAGAGTTTCAGTTACTATAGCCAACTGTGGTCTGAAAATATTAAATGCAAAATTCCAGAAATAAACAACTCGTAAGTTTTCAATTGCGTGCTGTTCTGAATATCTTGATGAAATCTCACACCTTTCCACTCCCTCTGCCTAAGGATGTAAATCATCTCTTTGTCCAGCATACCCATGCTGTGTATGCTACCCACCCGTTAGTCACTTAGTAGCCATCTGGGTTATCAGATTGACTGTCATGGTATCTTACACTTGTGTTTGAGTAACCCTTGTTTTACTTAATAATGGCCCTAAAGTGCAAGAGTAGTGATACTGGCAATTCAGATATCCTCTTATTGTGCCTAATTTATAAATCAAGGTATGTATGTGTAGGAAAAATCAAAGTACATGTGGAGATCGGTACTATCTGTAGTTTCAGGCATCACTGGGGCTTCTTGGAATGTACCCCTGTGGATAAGAGGAGACTACTGTAATATGTTATGTATATTAAATGGTTCCGGTCACCAATTCCAATGTGTGTTTTGTTGGGGGAGGGTTCCAACACCAACAACAAGCAACTCTCCACGACACCACTTGGGTGTCCTACGATTTAATTCAATTCTGATGCCATCTACCTGGAGATAGTATCAGATTCCACAGGTTAAGGGCTCAGTCCCTCAAGCCTGCCTGCCCACCCAACTTCAGATGCCAATCTCAAGTAGTAGTTCCCCAGGTTACCCACAGCTTCCGTCCAAGTTGGCTACAAATTAGAGGTCTTCATGACCATCTCCTCAGTTTTGATTGATTTGCTAGAGAGGCTCACAGAACTCAAGGAAACACTTACTTGTGTTTACCAGTTTACTAAAGGATACGATGATGAACAGCAAAATAAAAGATACAGGAGGGTCCTGAGTACAGGAACTTCTGTCCTCATGGAGTTGGGGTAAGTCCCTGCAGGTCATTGCAAGGCCTTTGGCTTTTACTCTGAGAGAGATGGGAAGCTCTGGAGAATTCTGAACAGAGACATGACGTGATCTGACTTAGCTTTTACTAGGGTCACTCTGGCTCCTGGTTGAGCATATGCTGCAGGGAGTCAAGTGTAGGGGCAGTGAGACCGTTGGGAGCCTTGGAAAGGCGTTTACATCAGCACCAAACTTGTCTGACTAATTTTAGGGAAGAAATCAATTTACATTCCTTATATAGCTACTTAAGTTTCTGTTGCTATTTATCTCATCCTCTGAGGCTTTTTATGGATACTATGCTTTAGCACTTTTATCATAAATAATACCTTATGGAGGCCTTGGTTTTGGCACTTAAATATTGGATTATTGTGGTATAAATGCCCATTTACCAACTAGACTGTGGGATAAGGATTGTCTCATTTTTCTTTCTACTTCCAATACCTTATCTAGTAACAAGTACATAGTGGGTATTTGATGAACATTTATTGAATACATGCATGAATAGAAATGTGTTGTATGTTTTTATCCTCAGATTTTTCGAGTACAGTAAATACCTCCCGATTTAGCTCTGTTGTGTCTTCCTGGAATTCACTATCTTGAGAAGTAAATCCGGGATCAAAGCTCTGCTAACAGTGCTGAGATTGGATTGCTGATTTTTTTCTTTGTGGTAACAACTTCAAACACCCCCATTCCCGAGATGAAATGTGACTTGTTAATATTAGGACTGGCAGGAAGAGCATCCACCTACACCTACAATGTTCGGAATCCAGTGTAATCCCATCTTTTATTTAATCTGTGTTGGCCAAGTGCAAGAGGATTTATGTTGGATGCCACACACAGCATGTCTGCGGACTGCTCTGTTAGTCCACAGGCATCAGCAGGTGTTTTACATACAAGAACACTTGGAATATGGGCCAGTTAATTTAAACTCTGTCAGTAACTAGCCATGTGACTTTGAGCAAGTCCTTCAGCTACTTAGAGTCTATTTCCTTATCTGCAAAATTGGGTGGTAGAGAATCACTGAGTTCACTTCTAGGGCTAACATTCTATACGTCTTCAAGTGCCTAGGAGGCAGTTTAAGAAATTTTCATCTTAAAAATGTTCTATTTTATTTTTATTTTTCCAGGGGTTTCTTCTTCTGACTCAGAAGGGGACCCTAACAAGGAAGAGATGAATCGGTAATTCTAATTTTCTATCTTTCTATCTCTGAGCCTTAGCATCCTCAGATCCCCAGAAAGCTTCTAATTGGTTAGCAGAACTTGGCTCCAGGGTGTGACTTCAAAAAAAACTTGAGCAGATTGGAGAAAACACTACTTCTTTTGCTTAAGTCTTGCGTAGCAGGTTCACGTTAATATTTCCAATATTTTAAAAATGAGATATCACCTATGAAATATCATCATACTTATACCTACAGAGTGAAAAACAAATAACCCCAGTGGTTCGAAAAATTTATGTTTCTGACGAATAACAGTACTCACAAGAACAGAAAACCTGGTGATTCCAAATTATACAGAGTGATCTGGGCAAGTCATAACCTTTTGCTAAACAATTGTACTAAGTACTGAACAGGGTTGCATCCATCCATTCATTACTTTCCATAGTCGTTGACAGAGCACTTACTTTGCACCAGGCACTTCACTAGATGCAATAGGTATTAGGGAAAATCAGATGCTTCCTGCCTTCAAAAGACTCAAGTCTAGTAGAGGGAAATATATATCAAATATAGCAAAAAGTGTATGCCAAACATATAAACCAAAAGAGTAATAAGGTGTAATAGATTATGATCTAACCATGTGCAGGATGTATAAGATTTGATACAAAGGACTATTGATTGCTTGGGAAGAGAAAGAGAGATCAGGAAAGGCATCACAGTATTGATGACTTTGAGCTGATTCTTAAAAGAACAGTAGGTGGACACCCCCAAACAAGGGAGGGAAAGGCATTGCAGACAGAGGAGGCTGTGGACAAAACGCATGGAAACTGGGAGCAGACACAATAGCCATTCCTTGAGATTACCTAAAACAAATGGCAAAATTTGGAAGACTAGTTGAAGAGCTGTTAACTGTTGGCATAGTATTCTGACCTCCCCTACACAGAGTAAATTCCTAAAGGGCAGAAATCAGGTCTTATTCTTCAAAATCCTTTGTGTATGCCTACCTTGGAATGATAATTTGCTTTTAGCTTTTAGTGTTGATAAGAAAATTCAGGGGCTGGCCCTGTGGCCAAGTGGTTAAGTTTGCATGCTCTGCTTCGGCGGCCCGGGGTTTTGCCACTTCAGATCCTGGGCGCAGACATGGCATGGCTCATCAAGCCAGGCTGAGGTGGCGTCCCATATAGCACAACCAGAAGGACCTACGACAGAATATACAACCTATGTACTGGGGGGCTTTGGAGTGAAGAAGAAAGAAAAAAAAAAGATTAGCAACAGATGTAAGCTCAGGTGCTGTGCCAATCTTTAAAAAAAAAAAGAAAAGAAAAGAAAAGAAAGAAAATTCATAACCAGAGTAAATGACTTCTCCGTTTCTCTTCCTTATCATTCACAGCACTTTGGTTCAATTCCTCTTCTTTCCTACCTCTTGGTACCAGGCACCTTCTTACGGGTTCTCCTATCTGCTCCAGCCTTTTTCTCTCTTTTACAGTCTCCAGACTACAACCAATTATTATTTAAAAGATAAATGTGATCCTATCATTTCCTGACTTGAAAAAGCTTATTATCTATGCAAAAATAAAAATCAAACGCAAAACCAACAACAACAACACTTTTAAAGAAACTTAACATGGCATTCAAAGCCTTATTCAGTAGAGTAGCAGCCAGGCTTTCCTGCCTCCTCCTCCTTCCTCCCACCTCAGGCTCTTTACACTGCTGCCATCTCACTCAGACAATGTACAGTTCATTCTCACCTTTTGTTCAAGCTGCTCACTTTGCTAGGAGTTCCCTATCTCCTTTTTATTTTTCAAGCTTTCGTTTTCTCTATTAAAAAACAGAAATCCCTAACTCATGTAAAATAATTCATCAACCCATAAAAAGGAGTATTAAAAAGTCAAATATTAATTTTTGAAATACCTGACACGCTATAATGTGTGTGTATAGTCTCAAATCGTTTAAGACTATCTTAGTATTAAACACCCAGCTTTTCTCAAATTCTTGTAAACCGCGAGTCTCATTTGCCTGCAAACTCCTATTTATCTTTCAAAACCCACTTAAGTTCTAACTCCTTCTCCATTGCACACTCATCACTCCTTCCTCAAGGCTCTCATAACATGGCTTACAAGCCTAATGGGTATGAATTTTGATATGCAAACTTAAGCAAGAAATATCTCATTTGTTTATTTTCTTTAAAACTACTGGCAGAAGTTAGGATTTAGCTTCAGTTGTGTGTAATAGAGACCCAAAATAATAGTGACTTCAGTAAGATAGGTATTTATTTCTCATTTATGTATAAATATGAATTTGGCTGGTAAAATGGTTTCACATTCCACTGGGTTCTTGTCTGCTTCTAGCTTTCTGCTTTATCTCATTCTAAGGTGTGGCCTCATCTTCTTAGTGTAAGATTGGAAGGAATAAAGAGTATGCCCTGCTCTCCTTTTAAAGTCATCTCCCTTAAATTACGTACATCACTATCACTCATATCTCATGACCAGAAAGTAGTCATGTGGCCACACCTAGTTTCAATGCATGTTGGGAAATGTAGTCTTTATTTAGAGTAGCCATGTAAAGAAATCAGGGATTCTATTATTGTAGAAGAAGAAAATAGATGTTTTGGGGACACTGGTTGTCTCTGTTATCACTCATAATTCTGCTTCTGAGACCCCATCCTGCCTGGCTGGAGAAAAATTGAATCTGTCGTTACTGGGTGTCCCTTTTCCCCTCCAAGGTTGTGTAAAGATGCCTGGGATATATATAAAATAGTTTGATATCATGCACTTGTCTAAGCATCTCACACAAAAGCCCTATGAGACAGGATTATTATTTCTCCATTTTGGAGACAGGGGAGTTGAGGCAGAGAGAGGTAACATCCAGACAAAAGGGAAGCCCATCCTGTTATCGGTCATCTACCCCCACAGATTATGGGGGAGAGGCCCATGTCCCAGACCTCGAGGTCCCTTCAAGTCCAGTGCTTTGTTGCTTCCTGACGTGACTGGGGACTGGTGTCTTTAGCAAGAGTGGAAGCCCTTCAACCAGAGGGGTGAGCAGTGATGGCATTACTAGCTTTGCTGGAAGAATTTTCACAATGATAGGTTTGTTTTATAATCTATATTTTAATCATTTCCCAGAATCCAGAAGCCAAGTGAGGTGTCATCCCCTCCCACTACCTCTGCAACCATTCCTTCAGCAGTACCCCAAGCCCAGCATGTGGTGGCCAAGCCCAGTGTGTCAACCATCCAGCAGGTACAAGAATCTAAGTAAAACAAAGGTGCCATTGACTGTGACAGGCAGTCACTGTGAACATGACCATCTAGTATGGCATGATTGTGCTCTCCTCCGTTGCAACTTCATAACGATCTTGGGCAACATATTTCCACAATCCTGATAATCACTTTGTACTTCTGATGTATGGTATCAGTGGTTCCTATCACTTTGGCAACATATTCTGTAGCTTCATCTGCAAATTTCATAGGAAAAGAAACTCTTCACAAATTAATCTCTGATATTCTAGCTTTATGAAGGTCACTGATTACATAGACAGTGAACTGCCAGCTCTCATACTGGCCCAGGACAACATGAAACTCAGTTTCACAGAGCTGGAAAGAGTTCTAGTCTCTAAGATGGAGCAACCATGAATTGCTTTTTAGAAAGCATTAAAGGCTCTCATCCTTCAAGTTCATTATGATGATAATAATAATACATGCTTATTTTAAAAACATTCAAAAAGTACAGAAGTATGTTAAATAAAAACTTTAGTCATGGTTCCACTCCTCAGAGGTATCTCCTGTTGATAGTTTCCAGCAGATGGTTCCAGGCATTTTCTATGAATATATATGTATGCATATGCTTTTAAAAATATGGAATCACACTAATCTAAATGTATTTGTAATATGTTATTGACATATTTATCCATCATCAATAAATATATTTAAATACATTGATCTAAAGCCTTTTCAAACATTTTAAGCAGAGTTACTTACCTAATCCATTTAGTAATGCAGAGGGGTCACATTTTAATCCACATCTAATCCAGTAGTTTTCAAACTGTGTTCTGTGGAGCCCCAAGAGTTCTGTGGAACCACTTCAGGGGTTTAGGGTTAATGACATAGCTCTATATTGTATTTCTAGAAATAAGTACAATCAATTCAGTCTAAAAATTCAAGTGTGTGATTCATAGACTTAGAAAACATCAGTCCTTTGGTTTTAGATTAATATCATACACCAAATTCTGTAGATTTGTTATATCTATCTATCTGTCTATCTACCAACCATCTATCCATCTATCTATGCATCTTATAATTTTAGTGACAATGAATCTATTGTTGGTTCCCTTCTAACAGTGTCAGAGCCCCACCAACTATTTGCAAGGATTGGATGGAAAACCTATCATTGCAGCTCCTGTGTTTACAAAGGTAATCAAAATAGTACTTTTTTCTGTCATGGCTTTAAATGCACCACAACTCCCAAACAAAGTTGTAAGATCTAAGATTTGCTGATTTTACTCAGGATTTTGGTCAAAGTATAGCATAGGAGTTGGGAGTTTTTCGGTGGTTGTCACCGTATCGCCTCAAATCCCAGATTTCTAGTAACAGTCAGTGTAATGAGAGCAATGTCTTCCCCACTGGCCACGTTGATCTCTCTGGCCTTTCCGTTGCTGTTAAACACAGTAGCTGCACCTCTGGATCAAGAGATAAATTTCCAGCCACCTACTACTCCAAAGGTTTCTATGGACTTTCAAAACAATTGGGTTGCAGGTACACATCTTTGGTGCTCAAGGAAATGAAGTTAAATGATCTTAAGAGGCTTAATACAAAGCCTCACTCTAGGACAAAGCTTTCTTTTTTTTTTTTTTTTAAAGATTTTATTTTTTCTCTCCAAAGCCCCCTGGTACATAGTTGTATATTCTTTGTTGTGGGTCCTTCTAGTTGTGGCATGTGGGACGCTGCCTCAGCGTGGTTTGATGAGCAGTGCCATGTCCGTGCCCAGGATTCGAACCAACGAAACACTGGGCCACCTGCAGCGGAGCGCGCAAACTTAACCACTCAGCCACGGGGCCAGCCCCCATAGCTTTCTTTTTTAAGTCCATGGTATCAACTATTGTGGTGGCATCAAATTGTGTGTCTCACAGTCTTTGCTTTTAGAACTGGAAAATTTACTCAGGTACTTTCCTTAACAAATGGAAAAACCAATGGAGGGCCAGAGAGATTAAGCAAGTTATCCAATGTCACAGGACTAGTTAGTGGCAAAATCAGGACTAGAAACAAGTTCTCCCAATTCTCAGTCTATTGTTCTTTCTCTTATATAACATAGACTTTGTTATATGTTCCCCAAGACAATAAATTCAAAGGTGAAAATTTGAGTCACACTGGATTTTTTTTGGTATTAGTAAGACCAAACGGATGGAATATATGCCTGGATTTATAGTTTTTGCTGTATGAACGCCAAACTTAGGCCCAAAGAGATTTTTTCCCTCTCAGAAGTATGCTTTAGTTTAGAGCAATGGTTCCCAATCATGGCTAATTTTGCCCCCAAGGGACATTTGGCAATGTCTGGAGACATTTTTGGTAGTCACAACTTGGAGAGTGTGCTGCTGGCATCCAGAGATGCTAAACATCCTACCATGCATAGGATGACAGCCTCCCACAACAAAGAACTATCCCGCCCAAAATGTCACTAGTCATGAGGCTGAGAAATCCTGATTTAGAGCAAAATGGCTACAAGAGTCTTTTCCAATGAGTACTGATCCTAAAGGAAGAGCTAAATCCACAATTTCCACAGAAACAACATTTTTAGAGAAGTTTCACTATATCAGCTTGTCCAGGATGGTTTTCCAAAATCAAGCAGAGCATACGGTGAGACATGTTTGTCACATCCATATTCACATGAGTCAAGCAAACATGCTTATGTGAAACATAAGATGCCTCTCAATTTTTCAGGTTCATTTCTTGTAACATGCTTTTGGAATTTCAACTTTACTGTTTTCAAATACTTGAAGTAGGAAAGCGACATCTTGTGACTTGGTGAATACACGACTTTGATGATGATTTCTAAGGGGACTCTGTGTGTGTGTAATACAGCTTATAGAGCTACCTCTAGTTGTCTCTTATTTCACTGCTAAGTCACCTAGCCTTAAAGCAGAGCTAAAAGTGCCCCAGAAATCAAGACACTTTAATTTGTCATGCCCATCTGTCACAACCTAGAGACAGTGCTGACTATTTAAGGGCAAGTAAACCAGAGAATAATTTAGACCCAGTTCCAACTAAAGTCTCCTCTCCTGTTCTCTTGCTCACCACCGTCTGCCCAGTCAGGCCCAGAGAGGACTCCTCATCTCCACTCAGTTTCAAATCTTCTGAGATTCTCTGTCTTCCCGGCATCTATATCACCTGGTGCATACCTCTGGTGCGACATTTAGCACAATAATAAAGCTGTTTACTTTTCTGTCTCTCCCAAGCCCCTTGAAGGCTGTCTCTGATATCTAGATAGGAGTCCATAAAGGTAATAATAGGTCCAAAGCCATTTTTGTTTTTCAAAAAAAGTCCAATAGGACTTTGACACGTTCTTTACATTTAATTTTCAAGGACTGGTTAGAGCAACAGTTTTTTTGTTTGTTTTTGGTTTTTTGTGTGTGAGGAAGATTGTTGCTGAGCTAACATGTGTGCCAGTCTTCTTCTATTTTGTGTGTGGGATGCTACCACAGCACAGCTTGATTATCGGTGTGTATGTTCGCCCTGGGTTCTGAACCCACAAACCCTGGGCTACAGAGTGTGCGAACTTAACCACTAACACCACTGGGCCGGCCCCCTAAAGCAATATGTTTTGCTGCTTTTGTGTGGTGACTCCAATTACCTCCTTCTAAATAGATGCTCTGATTGGCAGATACATATATGCCTTTGATAAAAATGGCAAAATGAATTAATCATTAGTATATATTATTTGTTAGATAAAGCTCCAAAAACATTAGCTCCATGTGGGAAAACGGTCCTTAGTAAGACCCTCACTCTGATGAGTCTCTCAGCCCTCGGGATGTGTGCTTTTGCCTCCATAAATGGGATGAGGGTTGTTCAGACGTAGGGCACTGGAACAGGCTGCGGCTCAGATTCCAGAGGGACTTATCAGCCATAGTGTGCTTGCGTTAGTTTCCGTCAGTGAGGACGGGGTTGAGGTCACAGTCACCGCCAGCGTCATTAGAAAATTTCTGAGTCAGAGTCACCGATGACGGTAATCACGTGGCATGAGCCATGATAACTGATCATTTCCATATATTTGTCCTGGTTATTCCTGCTCTATTTACTTCTTTAGGGACTTCTGGCATTCCAGTCCCCATGGCTCACTTTCTATACTGCCCAACAAAGCATTTCTTTGCCAGTAATGGCAAGATGCCACTTTTTTAAAGCAACAATTAGAGAGCAGAGTTTTATTGAACTCCTTCTGCCTCCTTTGGTGATAGGGAAGTGCTGATATTATTTTCTTTTTAAAGAAGGTTAACATGAAAAGGAGGGTGCCCAGAAAAACAGTGGTAGAGTTGAGAGAATACTGGGGTTTCATATGCTAGTTCATTGCTCTACTCAAAGGTGATACCTATGTTTTTAAATATTTTATGGAGACAGACTATCCTTTATCCTCTATACAGTATCAAAAACACTTTCGCTCCGCTTGTGAGGGGAAAACAGCGCTCACACTTCTTGAGTGTGAAGGGCGGTAGATGATCAAATTAGAATCTTACTCCTATTGCTGCCCCCACTCCAACAGCAGCTGCTGTGGCTGGCTTTCAAGGCTGCAGCAGCCCTGGCTCCAGCTGCTTCAGCAGTAATTTGAAGAGTGCAAGGGGGCAGGGGAAGTGCGAATTTGAAGTGCACTTCATTATATAATAGCAGAGGCAGGAAACTCTGAAATAACTGAGCCAGTGGCTCGATTCAGATTTCTGAAGATTACATGGGCCCCTCTCCACATCCCGACAGTTCCAGAGACTTTTCTGACTCAACTGTTGTACTGGGCACCTGTGACAGTCAAGGGGCAGAAGGGTCTTCAATCAAACAGTTCTCTATCATTAGTAAAAACTGCTCGGATCCACCTCCAACCTAAAGCCCTATTCACATTCACTGCAGCATCGCCTAAGGTGCAAAAATATCAACTGAACTAAAAAAGGAATAAAACAATAATATGAACCTTGTAGCTGACATCTTTTAACCAATATGGGAAATGCTCTTTCTCAAAGATGTCCCTCTGTTATGCTTGTAGGTATAGATCTCCTAAGCAGGAACTGTGTCCTTCCAACTCACATTTACAGCACCTGGCACATGCTTGTCACAAAATAGGCACATAGTAATATTTATTCTGTGGTGAATAAAACTTCCATTTCAGCTCAGAGGAATTATTGCTTTCATCACTTTGTGGCTTCAGAGTGTCTCTAGGAGGAATAGAAAAAAAAAAATCCAATATCAAATGGCCTTGGAAGACATGCTTCTCAAGGCTCTGTTGTCAAGTCGCCCTACAAAGAATGTCTTCCCAGAGGATCAGTATGGTGATGACACACAAGGCAGATTTGCACTTTGGATACTGTTTACCTCAGGAGGTTGTAGACCTTTGGTTATAACGACTTTCGTCCAGATCCATAATTCCTAGTTAAGACTAACTTAATCTTTGCTAGTTGGGGAATGTTTCATTTGTCTTATTTGTGTTCAGTGAAATTGAGATAAATATGATCCAGTCTGTAACAGCCTAATGCCTATGGCTGCATTGAACGTGGCACCACCTACATTATGTTCAGGTGATGTAACTGATTTGGACCCTGAAGTGCAGCAATGTGAGCCTGTTCCTTCTCGTGAGACTTTTGTAGGAAAGCACGGTGTTCAGCAATAACAATTGTTATCCTTCAAATGATGACTTTCAACAACTTTTTCTAAGTAGCTTGTAAGACGACCGTTGGCACCTTTACTGAGTATTGATGACATGTCACACTGGAATGAGCCTCCATCTCACATCACAGACATTTAAAGGGCATATTCCATATACTGTAGTATCTCAGGTATCTTGGCTGGACTCTCAAATAGAACAGAGGTCTGAACCTTCAATGTCAAGTGAACAAAACAACCAACTAATGTTGGCCTTAATTGTGAGCAACATAGTCTCACAAGGAGGTCCTTTTGCAAGCAGGGCTTTGGTGTAAACTTTGCAGATTGAGAACTGGCTCATGTATCTGAAATGAACTGCGAGCCATGTCAGAACACATAGATTGACCTCATTCTGCTTACATCCATTTTTAAAATGTGCCATATTTCATTTATTCAATCCCTTCTGCCTCAGCGACCTTTTTTTTTTTTGGTTTGGTTTGGTTTTCTAATTTGTTTACCTCAAGAAAAAATGAAACTCCATTATGTACAAATCCCAGGGGTATGTCTGACTTCCATTAAACTTTTCAATAGACCCCGCAGCTGCCATTTTAGCATAGAATTTGCGCAAATATCGGGGTAGAGGGTCTGTTCACCAGCTTGCCAGGAGCACCCAAGATTCATTGATGTTCCCTGTTTACTGAAAGCATACCATTCTCGTCACTAGAAGATGTTGTTTTGGGTAGACAAGAAAGAAAACAAGTTTTTGATAGATAGTCCTTATTAATTCAGAAACCACTCTGTGCAAATCCCATCCTGAATTACTTCAGCAAACAAATCTGGGAAAGCAAAAAAGAACAAAACACTAACATTGAACTACAGCGCCCTCTGGCGGTCACAATATCAACTTACACACCCCTCTGAGGTAAAAGTCTCCTGTAGCTAAAGCCACGTGGTTATCGCAACTCCTTATGTTCTTTAGACAAAGGCCATAAACATAATAGGACCGGGCACAAAATATCAAAGTTGTTCAGACAAGAGTTGTAAACAATCACAAAATATTTATAAGAATGAATGACAAAAGCAAAACAATGACTGGCTTTCCCCTTCTCTGAAGCAAGAGCCAATATTTCCTAAAGGCAGACCCCAAAATTGTAATAAGAGAAAGTTTTGCAGCCTTTGTTACTAATAGAGCTTGTGGAGTAAGTTTAATGATAACCTTTCCATGTTTGTAATCTTCAGGCCAAAATTAAAAGGAAAAATATGCCCACACACACTCCAAAGAAGCATTTCATAATCAAATGAAGTACCAACTGCACAAATGAACATGTGACTTTCAGCTCACAGATCATGAGTGAAAGACTCGTGAAAGGAAAATGCGAGTTCCGTAGAGTCTATTCTAGAATACACCGATGTTCTACAATTCAAAGTGGATTTTGTAAACTTTTTTCCACAGAAGTGTGGAAAAGCATTTAATGATTCCTTCACAAATTTACAACACATTTTACAATGACACAAGACTCCACATGTGACTATGATTTTATAGAGATTGTCATTGTTTATATCCCTCAACACATCATCGAGACTATATTGTAAAGACCACAGAAGGAAAACAAAACTGCAAAATAAAAGTCCATTTCCAGGACTACAGAATGGACAAAGCCAGGAAGACAGAGTTAATTACTTGGGCTGCAGAGCTATTCCACCTCACGGACAGCAACATTCTTGTGTGGAATAATGTATTACTCCTATGCTTACATACCTAGCAGATACTCACTGCTGACTTATTTTATTGTTATTATATCTGGAAACAAAACTCCACTTGGGCATTTAGGAACAGAGATACTTTACCCAAAATTAGTATTTTTTCAAACACTCCAAATGTTTCGCCTAGTATGTAATGAACTTGTCTGACACCGCAACAGACAGCAAAAGGAAGAAGACGGGAAAAAGTTTCATCTGATCTCAGATGATTCTGTCTTCAACAATACACTCAATGTACTTCCACAGAATTGAAGCTCCTGGAGATGTGAGAGATTTGGAGAAAATCCAAATGTGGGGGCAATGGTATCTTTTTCAAAATTCAACTCTGGAGCTAGATGTCAAAACTGTAACTTTGGGTTCTAACACTATTCTTCTCGTTATAGATGTTACAAAATTTATCAGCCTCTGAGGGTCAGCTGGTTGTCTTTGAATGCAGAGTAAAAGGAGCTCCATCTCCTAAGGTTGAGTGGTACAGAGAAGGGACCTTGATAGAAGATTCTCCAGATTTTAGGATTTTACAGAAAAGTAAGTTAATTGTTTAAAATTATTTTTCCGATAATTTATTTTTATAAATTTATTGTATACATTTATTTTTATAACTTTTTAAATAATTAAAAATATAATCAAAAAGAATAAAATAAAAATCACTTGTAAACATACTCCCCAAAACTGAACACTATCAATATTTTGACACACACCCTCCAAAATTTTTTCTGTGCATGTTTTTTAGATAAAAATAAATCACACTCTTTTTTGTAAATTTACTTTTTTATTTTTTCACTGAACATTTCATGACCATCTTTCCATGTTAATACGTATAGATGTTTCTTACTTTTAAAAATAAATCAATACAATCAATTTCGTATTTATTACTATATGATACAATAATATGTATATATAAGTACGTATTATTATCTCCTTTTGTTGAACATTTAGATTGTTCACAAATTTTTACTGTTATAAACTATGTTTCAGTGCATGTTAACAGAGGAAATCTTTGTGAATACCTATAGAATAAATTTGAATACTGGAATTGCTACTGTAAATTCATATTTTTAGGCTTTTAATATATATTGCCAAAATGCCATCCCAAAAGATTGAACTAAATATAGGATGATCACATAGTTGATCATCCAAACTGGGACACTTTGGAGAATGAAAGAGGCTGCTGTGAATAATTACACAGGGATCCCAGGAATAAGCCAGGTCTGCCCAGTTGAGCTGGGACACATGTTGCCCTGGCTACATTCTACCAAAGCCAGCAATATATGGGAAGGCTCTTCATGTCACACCTTCACCAACAATGGCATTAAACATCTTTTTTAAATCTTCACTAATTTTATAAGCCCAAAATGGGAACACTTGTTTTAATCTGCACTTCACTAACTAGATGTAGGATGGAACTTTTTCTCATATTTATTGTATTTGTCTTTCTATTTCTTTTTTTAAAAATTACCTGTTCATATCCTTGCTCGTTTTTACTGGTTTTTATTCTTTTTTACTCTGAGAATTATTTACATATTCAAGTGGTTAATTCTTCTTTTCTTGTCATGCAGTGCTTTCCCCTTGACTCATTTCAGTCATAAATTACATTGAAATTTGTTGCTTTTTGGTCACTTTGTCTCTGCCAATCACAAAATAGTAATACTTGGATCAGTATTATATATGGGTCAAACCACTGTCAGGTTTAACAGCAGTAGCAGCAACAATAATATATTCTGAATACCATTTAAACTTAGGGAAAAAAAAGTAGTTCTATCAGTGTAGAAGATTGTAACTAAGTTCAACAACAACTCACTGAATGCCTGCAACTCCAGAAACATTAATCGAACACCTGTATTCAGCACCATGCAGGCACTTTCAGGAATGCCAGAGGATTTTAAAATAATGAACCTGCTCTCGAGGAACCTGTCGTCCATCCTGAGGCTCTTAATACTAGGAACCTTAGAGCGGGAGGTACATTCTACATTTTATTAGGATGTGAGAGCCCAAAGCCGAGAATGATCTCTCAGTCTTCACAACCTTTTTTTCCAGTAAGGCTGAATGGGTACCAATAAAAGCAAGTCGTTCCTGAATCCCAGCTAATTCAGTAACTTTTCCTCACCTAAGCATCATGTGTCCTGAGTGGAACCCACGTGTGTCCCAAGACACGGCAACATTGTTTAGTTAGCAGCTCTCTTGCTGCTCTTCTAGGACAACTGTCCTGTCCCTGTCAAGGTCATTGATGCTTAGGTCATTTTAGTTAACATTTACAGATTAACCTTATCAAATCACTGGTGAGTATGCAAGAGACTATGAAATTCTATAGGAAACTTCTGATGAAAATATAGCCTCTCAGTAAAATAAATGCTCAGAATGTTTCAATTTTTTTTCTTTTAGAACCCCGATCCATGGCAGAGCCAGGTAAAGATCATTTTAACTTTAATTTATTAGTATGTGATCAGTGACTTGATGTATATATAAAATAAAACATATCGAAATTACACTGGTGTCAAGAAAAAGTGAAAAATGAAGTTTTAGAAAGAAGATCCAAACCAACTCTAGCTGTTACTGTAAGATAAGGAAAGGAGGGGAGCTTGTGAAAATTTGAAATATATCTACAATGTCTAATATGAATACAGTTGGTTCTTGGTTATTGGGGAATGATTCTCAGGAATATTTTCCTTCCTTTCTTGGCCCCCACTCATGACCTCCCAAAGGTGGGCAGAGCAATTTCCATGATGCTAGGTCAGTTCCAGTTCCACAGCCTGTGTGTCTCAAAACTTATGCATCAGATTTTGAAATTTGCAGAATCAGTAAAATGTCCATGATGGTATTAGATTTGGTTGGGAGCATAGTAAGACCACATGGAAGGGACAGTAGGTGAAGATCTTACCTCTGGAAAACACAAGCCACTCACAAACTATAGCATAAACACCTGAATGTCCTCTCTGTGATCATCCTGAAAAATCAGACTGTTTGTACCCCTGGGTAAGAATGACGGTTTGGAATTTCATTATTATAATTCTCTCTTCTGAAGACTGAATGAAAAGGCATTCCAGAAGGAGACATTGAACATCCATGTTGCATAGTCCTATACCAGGCCCTGGGGGGAACGTAGTAAAGACCAGAGTGGTCTTACCTTTGCATTGCTTGTAGTGGAGCAGTATTTCTCCCCTTGAAGATATTTCAGGCTTTTGATACTTTCATCCAGAGAAGATTTTTTCACTAGGCAGTCTCATACACAAAATAATTTCAGAGTCACCCAAAAGGGGTCCCCGCCCAAAATAAGTCCTGCATTTCCCAGCTCCATGACCTAAAATTTCACAGCCAGAGAGTTCTTCCTTCCACCTTGTATGTTGCAAATACACTTTGGAGATAGAATACTTTATCTTATCGGGCAGGTATAGTGTAGCGTGAATGAACTTATCAGATCATTTTCTGAGAGCAGATTGCTGAAAGATGAGAGCACAAATGTGTGGGGAAGAGAGAGAAGGAAGTCAAGGCCAAGGGCTCAGAAAAAGGACAGAGACAGCAAAACCAAACTTTGCCTCTCCACCATTTAGGATTCTTTGAACAGCAAGAAAGGAAGACCTAACTAAAAGTGGCTTAGGCAATAGGAAAAATGTATTTTCTCATGTAGCAAAAAGCCCTAAGAAATGGCAGTCTTGAGACTGGTTAATTTAGCATCTCAGAGATCATTGGGGCCTGTTTTCCATTTCCATTCTTCCATCTTCAGAATATGCTCTTAGGCTGGTTCTACTCATATACCCAGGATAGCTGCCACAGTTCTGAGTCTTACACGCATATGACAATATCCTGAGGCAAAAATAGGGAACAATACTCTCTTTTCTCCCCTTTAAAATGTAAGGAAAACTTTCCCAGAAACTCCCAGCAAACCTTCCCTGATATCTCATTGACCAGGTTGTGTATCATATGCCACCACTTAGTGAGAACAGAGTTAGCATGACTGACTTAGCTAGACCAATCACAATTCACCAGCTCAGGCCGGGAGAGGCCGGCTTGCCTTGAAGCCCGTCACCACTCCAAGGAAAGTGGACAAAGCCAGGATTCTGCTAACAAGCAAGGAGGAGGATGAAGAGTTATTGAGTACCATGTCCTCCGGGCCAGTTTTCCTAGAGGTTGTCCAGCTAATTCAGTTCAGTTCTCATGAAGCACTGAGATGCCAAGTCTCCCCTAATACAACTATGCTTTTATGAATGGTGTTTTTAATGTCAGGTCTACTGAGTGATAACAGGAGGTTTATGCTGCCATCTTACACCTCTCTTTATTAGCTATCAAGGAATAGCTAACTAAAATAATTCTAGGCTATCATCTTATGGTTCTATCTGGGAATCACCTCTGTAGTATTCAAAGAGGGGTTTGTGCTATGTGTTGGAGTAATCCCCAAGGATTGCCATATTGTTACAAAGGAAAAAATGCATTTCACTCTACTTTCACCAGAATTTCAAGTTACTCTATCAACTAATTCCTATTAGCTAAGAAGGATATTTATTGTCCAGTTTTAAGTTGTGACCTTCATTTGAAATTACGTCATGGTAAAATTTCCCCATGGAAATAGTGAGCGACCTGGGTTTTAAAAAGTTTTATTAATCCTTTTATCTCACACAAACCTCCTTTTGCTTTAACCTCTAATTTGTTTTTGTGATTTTTAAGTTTATTTTTTCTCAGTTCCATTTTTGTCATCTGGACTGATGACATAAAAACAGAAGAAGATCTGGGAATCCGTGGTATTTAATACATTCTATTATCATAAAATCGTCTTGTCAATACTCAGTCTGTCTGTATGGAGTTGTTGGTTCAACATCTTTTGACTCATTTAGACTTCAAATAAGTCAATTCAATCAAACAATTGTTTTTAAACAATTAATACAATCAATTTCTTACATTGACTTTTATGGAATCATCATCTGATATCAGTAAATTCCATGATTAAGTCAGTAAACATTCTGTTTTATTGGCATTTAGAGGAGATCTGCACTTTGGTCATTGCTGAAGTATTTGCAGAAGACTCTGGGTGCTTCACGTGTACTGCAAGCAACAAGTACGGCACCGTGTCCAGCATTGCACAGCTGGATGTAAGAGGTAAGGGCTCCTTAGATGCCAGAACAGTTTAGACTATGACTTTGAATGTGAGTATGGAGCGTTTGTATTATCCTTTCTCACTGCTTTTCATATGAAGCTAGCTTGGCTCCCCTAAAAAACACTTGAATTATCGGGGAAAGTGTTCTTGAAAAATATCCAAATTTCAATTGTTTTTTGCATTTGTAACCACCACCCAAGTTATCCTGCTGTTACCTATTATACTCCGTAAGAAAACATTTCTTTGGTCTTAAACACACTTCTAATATTCTTTCCAAAATTGTACTTAGCATTTTAGCTTAGTTTTTTTCCTGTATCCTCACCATTCTTTAATGCCCCAGATTATGTTCACTGTTTTTGACAAGCATTTTCCCATTAGCACACTCACCTGGTTTAGATACATGCCCCCACTCAGGATTACCATCCTGTCTCAGTCTTGTCCAGTGAGGCTAATAGCACAGGTCCTGCTATTGTCCTTTCAGGAAATGAAGACGTCAGAAATAATGGGTCTCTTCACTCAGCCAGCTCCACCACCAACCTGGCTGTTATTGAGCAACAGCCATCCTCACCCAACCCAGAGCCTCCTTCTGTGGAACAACCCCCGAAACCCAAACTTGAAGGGGTTCTGGTGAACCACAACGAGCCCCGGTCCAGCTCAAGGATTGGGCTCCGTGTGCACTTCAACCTGCCTGAAGATGACAAAGGAAGTGAAGCATCCTCTGAGGGCGGCATGGTGACCACCAACCAGATCAGGCCTGATTCTTTCCAGGACAGATTCAATGGACAGGCAGCAAAAATCTCTGAGCCTTCTTCACCTGTCAAAGAGCCCCCTCCAGTTCTGGCCAAACCCAAACTGTAAGTAAAAGTTAAAGTGGATAATCAGAGTGCCTGTGAGCTTCTCTGAGTCTGCCCTTCTTAAAAATGATGGAGCTGAAAAAGGAAATTATGAAATGAGAAAACGCACATTAAATGCTTTGCAAACTGTACATCCTTATATCAATGTAAGTGTACTATTGCTATCATCTTTACAATTAACATTCTACCTCCAAGAAATGTTACACCTAAACTAGCTCAAAAAGATGTTTGTCTAAAATTAGAGGGCTCCGGATAAAGCATCTCTGCACTCAAAGAGCCCTTTCTTGGGTCTAATAATCCTTATAGTCTCTAATTTATCCTTATAGTTCCCATTTCTGTTTCAACTTAAGTTTTTGTAGTCACAATGGAAAAGATACATAGTATATTTTGGATAGTTCCTGGCTATTGCTAGATATACCATAGCAACCACACAGTAGGTTTCCTATAAATAAATGGGATAAAAGAAGAAGTCATGATTTTCAGACTCCCCTCAGGAGCCTGATGGGGTTGTCACCTAACTCTCTAGAAAGCTCCCATCAGAACCATGTTGCAATGTTCAATGTTCATCCAAAGAAAAGCAAACACAGAACGTGATACTCCGAGTATGTTCTGTTTGATCCATACATCAAAATGATAAAATATTATGTACATAAATCTTTACATATCAACATTAAAATCCACGGTAGCTGCACATACCCCCATCACCCCCATCACGTGTTTCTCTCTGCTCACCACAAGCTGTTGGTTGGAAGCAGTTCATGTTGTTTCATTTTATATTCTTCTCACTACCAGATAAGGCAAAATTCTAGGCACAAAATTCAATGTTATAAAATATGCTTCTTGGCAAGTCACATCCCGAAATGCCTCTGTCCTCTCAAAGTCCTGCCGGCCGCAGGAAATAGGAATCCACTTAAAGGAAAAAGAGGGGAAGAGGTTATTCTAGGGATACAGGAGGAACAGGAGACAAATGCAGCCAGGCCCTGTGCGGAGGAGAGCTAGAGATTTCAGAGCTGGGACACCTGGTCAGTCCAGCCTCTGTCCAGACCACGCACCTCCTCACTTCTCCCTTGCATATCCGCTCCACTCTTCTCTCTTTGAAGACTCATCAGTTCACATCTGGCCCATCATGGCATGTCCTGTTCTACCTCACAATCTGCATCAAGTTCCACTGCTAACTAAATGGTTCTCAGCAGCTCGATTCCAAATGCCAACTGGTCCAGCCAGGTCAGATGCAGAGGATTTATGTTTGCAGGGAAGAGTCAAATAGATCAAGTCAAAACTGTGGGTCGAGGCAGTTCTCAGAGAAAGGAGTTGTGAGCACAGGTAACTCATAACAATCCCCTTGGGAACTGCATCCTTGCTGAGTCTCATCTTACCCAGTAAGATGTTCTGTTTAGGGGCTCTTAGGTATGTTAGGATCAGGTTTACCTTCATATTGCAGAAAACCCAAACTAACATTGGGTTAAACACATGGTCACACACACACACACACACACACACACACACACACATGCAACCTTTATGAATCCACGTACTTACAACCTTTTCTTATTGGTTTTTACCTCATTGGTTTTAATCTTTTAGATTTTTGCATTAAAATGTATTAGCTCTCTGAATAATCTCAAAGGTACGATTTTCAGCTTGTTCCTTCAATTTGCCATTCATACAGAAAGACATAGTTCTTATAGATCTTAAAACTGCAACAGAAAGAGAAACTGTCATTTTTAAACATTGTATCATCAAAGCCTAGATAATTCAGACTTTGAAAGTTTCAACTTGAATATCAAGCTGTCTAGAGCACTGATTCTTCATCCTGGCTACACTCTGGCATAAAATGTGGAGCTTTTCAAAAGTATTTGTGCCTTCCAACCCAATTGAATCAGAATCTCTCCACAGCTTGTTCTAATGTGCTGCCATTTTGGAAACTACTGGTCTAGAGCTGGAGAATCCGAGTTACAACCCTTTATCACCCAACCCCACCCCATAGACACATCCCTCCGTATGCAGGAAAAAACAATAATTAACATTTAAAGTGAGTAAAATGTCAGACGAAAATCAGAATGTATGGGGAAAGCCTGCGCTTTAGGGGAAAGTGGTTCTCTGTCCTGGATGCATGCAAGAATCACCTAGAGCATTGCTGCTCAAAGCTCTGGCATCAGCTGGGAGCTTGACAGAAATGCAGAGTCTCAGGCCCCACTCCAGACCTACTGAATCAGAAGCTCTGGGGGTGCAGCCCAGAAATCTGTGTTTTAACAAGCCCTCCAGTGGGTGCTGAGGCTCAGTAAAGTTTAAGAACCACTGGCCTACATTGAAAGAGATAGTCATAACCATGCCTGGATCCTCTCCCAGGCCAATTGACTCTCTGAGCAGTGGTGCCCAAAGCAGTGAGGCTTGTTTGTCTTTTATGCTCTCTGAGTGATTCTAACATGCAGCCAGCATGGTAACCACTGCTAAAACCACAGCTAAAAGCTGATTACAGAGACACGTTTACTCAAAATTAGTTGTCCTAATCAGTGATGTGCTGGCAAATGTTTAACAATGGAGGGAGGCGGGGAGGCTCTGATTTGTAGCATTTGCCAATTTCCTCCCACCATGGCCAATTTCAAGCTACTGAACAAAGGTCATTGAACTGGGAATTGGGATGAGATATGCACAATCTCCTCTCTAGAGCCATCGAGAGCTGGCTCCAGCACACACTGCCCAAAATTGTTGTTGCCAAAACTGCTTTCAAAAGTATTTGACACAGTGTCCTAAGTTCATTTTGTTCTGTTTGTCATTAAGTCTTGACATTTTATCTCGACAGTTCAAAATCCCTAAGAAATTCTTTTGTATTCCAGAAACCACAACGAAAAGCATTCTTGTAATTCTGAAACTCTAATTTTCATTCTTACAAATCTTGAAATTGATATTTGTAGCTCAAAAACTAAAAAATATAATAGCCACCATTTATCAATCAGTTATATGTTTTAGGTGATTTATTTATCAATTCTCACAACAACGTTAAGAGATTTTACTTATTTGGAAATTGGGGTCAGAAAAGTCTAGAGATTTCTCAAAGCCGCACAGATAGTGAGTGGCAGAGCCAAGATTAGGACTTAAGTCTGTCTGGAGAACCAATATTCTTGAGCATAATGTTGTGGATTATCTTAAATTAAGTTGTGGCAAAAGAGAAGATATTTTCAGGTAACCTGAGAGAGTTGATAAATCTACAGAAAGAAAGCTTGAGGATAAACTTGATTTCAGAAATCCTCATAGCAACAAGAAATGAGCAGCAGAGCTTATGACAGGCTATTTATGACAGGCTGTTATTTTGAATTAGATAGATAACTGAGGATTTTAAAACTAGTACACTTTGTAATTAATCTTCCCTTCCTTTATTCTTTCATTGCACTTTGTACCTTTATTATTAAATAGTAAGTCCCATATGTTATCTGTAAATAACCATGGTTATTTGTGTTATATGGATGTATAGTAAGATTTTTGAGCCCTGAATAGCTCATGCTATCTCTGGCATATTTCTATCCCCTACAGTACCTAACAAAGTCAACACATAGAAGAGTCAATAAAAGTTCATTGAATAATGGAATTGACACCTCGCCATGATGTAATGAATAAGTGGATACAAACAGCTGTTTTAAATCCCTTCTGAAACAAGACAGCATTTAATAAAATGAAAAAAATCTTTTCAAACAAAAAGAGACATTACTCTAAAATTAATTCTTCCAGAATCCTAGATAATCAAAACAATTTGACACTGAATCTCAGACCTCATCATGTTTAAGTTTCGTGACCCTCTATAATCCAATATGCAGCATAGAATGATAAGGGCTAAGATACCATTTGAAGTCTTACTTACAGTAAAAAACTGGTTCTTGATTTTCATTCAATGGGAACTAAGGAGAATAAGAATCCTTCAATACCAAATGATTTCCTGGCCCCTTTTTACCATCCTTATCTTCCTAAGGTTACTTACTTCTCATATACTATTTTTTTCTATTTCCATAACTACAATAAAATATTTCTGTGATATCATCAGCTTAAAATTTACTCAGACTACAGTATAAACCTGTCCTGAACACCATATAGCATTGTCATTATGCTATAGCAGTCACAGAATAGGACCTGCTGAATATGAGATCCATTAAAAATTTAAAGCTTTTGCATTTTCATACCATTGGGAAAGTTAACACCAGCAGACACAATGTTAATTGTATCTGTTTTCGTAAGGATAATCTAACGACGATATTTCTGCTTCTCTTGATTGCTTAATCTTTCATCTATGATGAAATAAAAAGGTTTAACTAATCTTTAATTATATTACTTTGTTCTCTCAGCTTAAACACTCACTTCTAAAGAGGAGGAGAAGAAAGTTACTGTGCCAAGTGGCTAATATTCCTGAATGCTTAGTTTAACTCAAGACAAGAGTTTTCATAGACGAACAAAGGATTGCACAGTCTGTGGCATTTGGCAGCAGTAATGAAAATGGAGATGAGTCTCTATTTTGTGAAGTTACTTTTCCGTATATCGTGTATCAGAAATGTTAATGAAGGGAAAGGAAAAGTTCTTGAACGCCAAGAATTAAGAAAAATCGAGGTTTGGAGAACCTTCTGGTTCAACTGCATTGCTGTTGGTGTTGACTTTCCTGACAGTATGAAAATACAAAACCTTTCATTTTTAATAGATCTCATGTCCAGCAGATCACCTTCTATGTTCCAGAAGCAACCTCTATTTCCGAATAACATAAAACCACAATGGCCTTGAAGCCCTGTGGTCTCACTTGCGCATCTTCCTATGATAACTTATTCAAGTATAAATTCTCCTAAACAGCAAAGTTTGACAGCCCTGAAAACTTTACTCATATATGATTTTTAGCATTTTTGTTTTCCGTTTTCTTCCTTAAAAAATAGTTAACTGTTGGGGGTTGGCCCTGTGGCCGAGTGGTTAAGTTTGCGCGCTCCGCTGCAGGCGGCCCAGTGTTTCGTTGGTTCGAATCCTGGGTGCGGACATGGCACTGCTCATCAAACCACGCTGAGGCAGCGTCCCACATGCCACAACTAGAAGGACCCACAACAAAGAATATACAACTATGTACTGGGGGGCTTTGGGGAGAAAAAGGAAAAAAATAAAAAATAAATTTAAAAAATGAATCTTTAAAACAAAAATAGTTAGCTGTTTTGTCAAGAGAAATTAAACAGACTGTGGGACTGAAGGCAAATCATACGCAGTAATACTTCTGTGGCTCAGGTGCTATAAATGGAGAAAATGCTCCCAGCTTGATCTTTCTCCTTTTAGGAACAGGAAAAGTCTAAGGCAATTTTTATAATTAAGGTGACCATATAATCTCTTATTCAAACCACAACATTTTTTAGAGTGAAAGAGCACTACTAATAATTATGCCAGGAAAACGGGCATAAACCAGGACTGCCTAGGGTGAATCGGGATGTATGGTCACTTTATCTATAAAGCTTTGTTGTCAGGAAAGGATGAGAAAAACCAAGACACATCCAGCTGCCTTCTTAAAGTTCGTTCTGTAATGAGGCAGAGGGAAGAATACAGCACATTCTGGGAGAACTCGAGCCCTTCAGTAATTCACATCAGCGTGTAGCTCAGTGCCTTCCATCCTGAAGCTGACATACCATCTGCTTGTCTCAGAACTTTGAGCATTCCCAACAAGAGGAGCATTGTTTCTCTTTCTTTTTTCTAATTTATAAACATTCTGAAATTGGGCTGCTATGTTGTATAACTCCAGGGTCCCAGCACAAAGAATACAATGTGAATGATACCTCTTGGAGTTGTGTGTTGTGGGGCCTTCTCCTTTCTTACTGACGATGAAACAGGCGTAGAAAGAAGGAGAAACAACTCACAAGGTGATTTTGGGTGACTCTGGTTGTGTGTTCTTAATCAGCATAAAGTTATAGACAGCCTGTCTGTACGTTTGCTGAAAGGTGAGGCTGATGGTGACGGGTTTCCCTTCTCTCTCCCCGTTCTCTCTTGTTGCGTGTGCAGCGATTCCAGTCAGTTACAACAGCTTCACAACCAAGTCTTACTGGAACAACAGCAGCTGCAGAACCCACCTCCTTCATCTCCTAAAGAGCTCCCCTTCAACATGAGTGTTTTGAACTCCGTGGCTCCTCCAACAGTGACAATGTCCAGCAAGCAGATGAAGGCCCCTTCACAGACATTCAGCTTGGCCCGGCCAAAGCATTTCTTTCCCTCCATGAGTACCACCGCAGCAGCCGTGTCCCCTTCCAGCTCTCCAGTGTTCACCCTGAGCAGCACTCCTCAAGCCATTCAGAGGACAGTGAGCAAAGAAAGCCTCTTACTTTCTCACCCCTCTGTGCAAACCAAACCTCTAGGAGGGTTTTCTATCCAAAATGAGCCACCCCCTCCAGGTCCAATAGAACCAGCACAACCGCCACTCACATTTTCCATCTCCAGTGGAAACCAGTTTCAGCCCCGCTGTGTATCCCCAACTCCTGTCTCTCCCACCAGCCGGATTCAGAACCCAGTGGCTTTCCTCAGCTCTGTTCTACCTTCTCTCCCTGCCATCCCACCCACCAATGCCATGGGGCTGCCTAGAAGCGCACCATCTGTGTAAGTGTCACCGAGGGTTCTTGACATAAAAGATGTTACTCAAGAAGGGACATAGCGTAGAATAGCTTGGTCTGGGACAGGACTCTCATTTAGTGTAGTCCTAGACAATCCTCTCTCTTAGACACAAAATGAATATTGGACTCCTTAGGACAAAGGGTACCGATTACTTTAAATAATTTGTAATAATTTAAATATTGAAAACACCTCTACAAACACAGATTCTCTGCAGGGCTCAACTTTTGCACACAAGAAGCCCTCCATTAGTGCCTGATGACTCCTGGCGTCTGGCTGCCATTTCAACCACTCTGATTTTTAGGCCTTTGTACACTGGCCAGTGCTTTTCATGGGTGTGTCAGGTGTGAATTTATTTTACAGGCCATCCCAGGGACTAATGAAGAAAAATACAAAGTCTGCCCAACCAGTGAGTGATGATTACATTCGTGAAGCTAAGAATGCAGTGATTCTAGACTTGGGGAAAAAAATGAATTTCAGTGATGTCAGATCAAACCAGCAGGTAAGATTGTTGGGTTCAGATGGTTTATTGAAATTTCGTTGTAAGGAACATAATTTTGCTTAATTCAGTCCTTGAATGCTCATTGACCTCAGTGAGGTGGACACTGCAGTCTTGGAAGGTAGAGCACAAATTAACCAAGAGTCACGTAGGAAACTCGCCCACATGGATCTTCAGTTCTTGATTACCCCAGTACTTAATTCAGTTTACCTGTCTCCATGCATTTACCCAGAATAGAAAGAAAGAGAGACTAGATAGTCTGTTGTCCGTTCCAGCAATCCTCAGCTCAGTACTGGCAAACACCATCACATCTTTGAGATATTTCAATACCTGGGCCTTGGGATGAGCTAGACTTTAAGGAACTGAGGTTCCAAGCCGTCCTTTATCTGACTCCTTCAATGTAATGAGCCTGGAGGTCTGCTCACCAGTTCCTCTCAATCTTTACGTTAGGTCGAAACATGCGAAATATCTGTTAATATCTGATAATACCGTTTGGTTCAAACTGTACAACTCCTTGCTTACTAATGAGTGTTCACGCTGAAGGAGAAAAAAGAAGTCATATGTGAACATCAAATAAAAGAAGACTATTTTCTTATTTGAGCCAATCACTTTTGCTTTTTCTAAGTTGGTTATTTTTTAAATGCAGATTTATATTTTAATAATCTAACCCTTGGTTGATTTCCCAAGGTGGGAACTAATAAAATCTATTTTGAAACATACCATAAAATTTCAGTGAAAACTATATGCCAAATATTGTGGAACTTTTGACACAAATGACCCCTGGAAACAAGGCTCTAGAATTTCCCAGACCAAATGCTATTTTCCTTCGTTTTTCTAGTGGAGCCGTGGGTATATAGGATTTTACCATTGTGTTATCTTGGGCAATTTTTACTGAATGGATTCTTTCCAAAATGTGCTGCTTAAAACCTTTTTAAAATTGACTTTAAATTATTGAATTGAAGCAGAATATTTAAGCTTGCCATAATTGAGTACACTTTCCATATATTCTCTCACCAAATTACGTATATTTCTGGAAAGCAAATACCAAGGCAACTATTGTTCTCTTCCATCTTCTAGATGGAGAAACTGAGGCATGGCTGTCAAACTGTCAGTGGTAGAACTAGAACTATAGCCCTGGTCTCCAGGACACTTGCACATTTTCCCTGAAACTCTGCAGCCTTTCCCAGTTTTATGACAACACTTACCTTCAAGCCCCATAAATGTTGCTGTAACACAGATTTGTTTTCCTGTAACACTGTCATCACCTTTGTGGTTGTTAATCCTTCTGAGTATCATCACAATCAGAGCTGTGTTCAGCCTATGTCTTTTACAACTCAGACAGGGAGCAATTAGAACCCTGTAAAAATGATACCAGGTTAGCACACAGGCTGTTTGATTTTACTTTTATAGTTACTCTGTAGGTAGAATCCATGCTAATCCATTGCCCCACTCAGGGGAAAGCCAGGTTTTTCTCTTAATCGCCTGAAATGTGACTACATGTAAACATGAGCTTCCACGAGTTGCGCGCCATAAACCCGGTAGAACTCTTTATGAAACCTCCATCATGAGTTAGCTTCAGGGCTAATAGCAGGAACTGGGAGCAGTCTCAAAAATTATCTCAATCCTCTCCATCTGAATATTTGTGACATGCATCAGTGTTGTTCTGAGAGTTACTATTCTGAGAATTATGATGCATTGATTACAGAATTGGTCTCAGACAGCAACCTTGTCATGGATAATGAAAGCCAAGCTGCATAAATGCAGTTCAGAAAACTAAGGAGCTGTCTGAGATGGAATGCTTGCCTTAGGTTGGGAGATATTGGTTTTGAGGAATAAAACAATGACCATATTATAATATTGTTTTGTCCATTGCTGCCTTGAGAAATGATAGTGAAATGTCATGAAGAACTGTCTAAAACGTACTATGGCCTGTTGGTGAAGTTAGGAAGAAGCAAATTTGCTTAGAAAAGTGTAAGAACAATAGAAAAGTGGAGAACAATCATAAAAAGCACGTGTATTGATAGCCATCTATACCTGCAGGCTGAGGACACAGGAATCAAAATAATCTATTTTCTCATTTTCGTAATAGCTCCCACATTACAGGGGAAAGTAAATGATTCCTTCTGAAGAGTACGCCTTTGTTTTGCTTTATTTTGCTTTGAAAACTTTTAGGTCCAGAAAGTTGAACTCTTGCCCTATCTTAGTCCTAAGAAAATGAAGAGTAGTAATCATCCTAGAACATTTATATGGTCTAGCATCACCACATTACACTGAGCATGAAAATAAATCAGAAGTCCTTAAACAATGAGTATTACTGACTATAAACCATTTCCTCCCCAGAACTCAAACTTATAAATTATGCTTTAGAAAATGAGTTTTCTTTGATGTATCTCCCACTTTGTATTTCCCTGTTGTAATATTTCATTACAACCTTGATCCTCTTACTCGTTTCATATAACATTTTCAATTAGCAATTAACACTTGTTTTTTGATTCTTAAGACTTTGTGAAATATAAAGGTATCATCCCTTCAGATGTTCATATTGACTAAAATTCTTAGCTTTCTAAACTGACAACGAAGTTTCTTTGGGTTCGGGATAAGCCAAGAGAAAGGCAACCGATTTCAACATTTTAGGATGCATCATTTCTTATTTTGAAGAAAATCATTCACCCCCAGTGGATCTTCATTGGACAGCAATAAAATTTAAATGGTTTAGGTTAGCAAGGTGAGTCTGAGAGGTCAAAGGAACCCAGGATCACAGCATGTAATGGAGCCATCATGACCAGCGATTCTAATTCACACGTGACTTTGCATGATCTTCTGCACCCAGTAAATATTTGTTGACTGTTAATTTCTCAATCTACACTCACTCACACACACACACACACACACACATTTAATGTCCTATTTCAACTTTCCTCCTTGACCTCATTTCTCCGGAAACCTTCCCATCTGTTTATTCTGCTCCTCCTTCCCTTTTTTAAAATGAATGCTTTTTAAAACTGTCTGTGGTTCCAAGATACTGCCATGTACGATGGAGGGGGAAAGAAGTACGTAATTCTTGGTCTCCCTTTTGTTCCTCTAATCCCCTTCTTCTCTCAGCCGCTTAGTCATTTCCTCCATTTAAATCTTACCTCTTTCATCTCTTACCATGAATCCTTTATGAAAATCCTCTCTTGTGGGCAAATAGTCTTGCCATTCATTCCTTTTCTAATAAGTCTTCCACACAGCCATGGGCCTTACGTTGCACGCCTTGGGTGTGTAGAACCCTGGTTAGGGGAACAGTGATGTCCGCTGGTTAGGGGAACAATGTCGTCTCCCTGGCCACACCCAGGATGCTAGTCACAAGCTAATCCTTGTCATGTAGGTGTTCAGTGAATATTTGCTGAATTAACACACAACTTTGGGATTTACACTATTTACAGATAGGATACTGAAACTTTTGACCAAGTAGAAAAATTTGGATTTGTTTCTTATCTATGGAAAATATCTCATTTGACTATATATCTTCTGATTATACCTAATTATGGATACTGCTTGCTATGGTAGCAACCTATTTTAATCAACTGATTAAAAAGATGAAAACTTTCAAAAAGACACTGAAATTAAGCTAAACTCTGGTGTTAACTGAACATTTAAGTGTAAAGCAAATCTGTGCATCTTTTAGCAATTATTTATTCTTAAGGACAAAATTTGGATTTAAAGTATTTTTATGCAACCTCCTTGAAGGTAAAGTCTGTGTTTTATAAAATGTTGTATCCTTATTGCCTCTCATAGTATTTAGCACATAGTAGGTGCTTACTAAGAATTTGACAACAGAGACAGCAGGCAGGCAATGAAGCCCTGTTCTTTCTATTGAAAGTAGCATGTAATTATTAGATAAATAGTAAAAGAAGACATCCTCTATATATGTTCACCTCCAAGTTTATCTAGGCATCTTTTATCTGCTCTCCAGACTGTGGCTGTCCTTGGAACGAAGGAGAACACTTTCTTTAACACATAAGTCTTTCTTGAGTGAACATCGTACCCAGAGTTTTTTGGGACCCCTTTGAGCAGCCTCTTCCAACTGGTTTGATTCTATTTGATTATCTGAGCCCTAAGCCCAGACTCAGAACCTAGAGTAGAGGAAGCCAGCAGTGAGCTGAGGGCAGTAAGTGTTGGATGATGGCCCACATTCTGGAAATCCAGAGCCTTGGAAATGCCATATCTGATTGGGATGTGTCATTACCCTGTGGTTCTCAGAAAAAGGAAAGCACTCTCCAAATTGAAGAAAATTTCTGCAGATGTGTCCTAGAAGTCAAATGTCTCAAGTTGTCACATCATCAGCCTTAAGAGGATTATCTTTAAAGAAAAAAACAGAATGATATTTCCAAGTGGCATAGTCTTCTGAAATATTTTTTTCAGCTTTTCATTTTCTTTCGTAGAGCAACTAAAATTCTATGCAATTCAGTTTCACTTAAGGTCTTTAACATAAGCCTGGGAAGTATGGGTCATATGTCATTGATTTGATTGCCATACAGGCCAGATTTACACACAAAAAATATTCTCTCCTTTGAGCACTGATATCACCTACGGGCAGCTGATGCTGAAACTCCCGCTTTTACTCACAAAGGGAAAAAGGCAAGGGAGAGTGCAGAATGCAGCGTAAACCAGTTCTGGAAATTCAAAGTGTGCATCCGCTCACAGTGGATCAGTAGTGCAGCCTTTGTGCAGAACAGTGCAGAAAGCACCTCCCAATTTAACTGAAACATATTGCTTGAGTTTGCAAATTCCCTCACAAAGTCTGAGTCCCATCAGTCATAATTTGGAATGACAACCTTGATTTATGTAATAAGGGTAATCATCCTTGGAATAACCAACTCTTAGTTGCAAAGGACTATAAAAAACATAAATTCCTGTTTGGGGGATGGTGTACACTTTGTCAACAACTCAGATGTAAAGATTCAGTGCTTTAGTGACAGGCCATATATCCCTGCCACACAGTTGCATGGTTTCCTTGTTCCTGACATTCAATTTCCCAAATATTTTATGAAATCTTTCATGGAAACTCCTTGATCTACAGTCTTCTTATTTTGTTGTTCACCTGCAATTTATACATTATGTCATATAACTGGTACATTAAACAAATATGTATAAAAAGAATTTTTATTTTTTCTCCCATTAACCATTTATTTATCCAATGGGACTAATTCTTCTCCTGTTCCTGGCAATCTCGAAACCATTTTGGGGCCAGCCCCAGTCGCCTAGTGGTTAATTTCAGTCTGCTCTGCTTCGGCGGCCCAGGTGCAGTTCCTGGATACAGACCTACACCACTCGTCTGTCAGTGGTCATGCTGTGGGGGCAGCTCACATACAAAAAAGAGGAAGATTGGCAGCAGATGTTAGTTCAAGGCAAATCTTCCTCAGCAAAAAAAGAAAACCACGGCAACATTTTGGCCATTTTTCGTTCATAAAAAGCTCTATGGTTTCCAGCCCTTGTAGTAATCAAGACTCCAATCCTTATTCAAAAATAAAACCCCCCACACAAACACCCCCATTAGCACCCTACACCCCAGGGACTGCTGCAAATGGTGAACCTAAAGCCAGGAAGGGAAGTATGGCCAACTTCTCTCTTTTTTGCTCCCTTCTCCCCCACCTCACTAACTGCTGTTCCTGACTCCTTCCTTTCCCAGCCATGGAGAAATAAAACTGACCCCACACTGGCTTTGTCTTGTATGTGGCCCATGCAGGCATGACAGGAACCATCACAGGTCCTCTGCCCTGACACAATGCAGAAGGAGTACAGGCTACCCAAAGCAGCCTTCAGCTTGCCCACCAGCAAAAAGGTGCCTCGCCCCTCACTCTAGATTTCTTAGGCAGGAGTCAGACACCAACGCAATGTGGAAGGACAGCAAGCTCTCCAAATGGGTTTATATAATTTCCCTGGCTAGACACGAGGTGAAAAGCAGGTACCCTGGGGCTGGACGTGGAGGTAGGAGACTCATAGACATTAGCATTTCTCTCCAAAGTCCTCTCGCTGGATCTCCTCTCTCCTGACTTGTATCTCTGATGGAGGTGAGGGATTTAAATCACTTAACGTGTCCTTAAGCACCTGCTTTGAAATATCTGGAAGGTAGTTTGTCTCCTACACCATTTGTTTTCTCATATCTAGTCCATCTTGATGCCTCAATAGAAACTTCCAGTTAAGATCTGGTTACAGAGCCAGCCCTGATGGCCTAGTGGTTAAGTTCAGTGTGCTCTGCTTTGGCGGCCCAGGTTTGGTTCCTGAGTGTGGAACCACACCACTCGTCTGTCAGTAGCCATGCTGTGACAGCAGCTCACAGAGAAGAACCAGAAGAACATACAACTATACACAACTACGTACTGGGGCTTTGGCAGGGTGTGGGGCTCTAGAAAAAGAAGGAAGACTGGCAACAGATGTTAGCTTAGGGCAAATCTTCCCCTGCAAAAAAAAAAAAAAAAAAAATCTGGTTACAGCTGTATCCTTAGTACCTAGTTATGAACTGTATATTTTAAATAACTCACTGAATTTTCTATTCTCATTACCTCCCAATCTGTAGTACTGGTAAAATAATAAATATATAACTAATATGTATACATTTATGGTGAAACAAAATGTGCATATTTTCATCATATTGTTTCTGTAGTCCCTTTGGCTAAATCAATTCAAACGTTTATAAATTCTGTAAAATCAGGCCCCAACTTGATAAAGTCAAGTTCCTAAAATTAGCTGTTTGGAATACCTAGAGACAATGTGGTATTTATATTCTCAGGCAGGCACTTAAGACCCTTATGAATATCACTCATCACACTCCTGAAGTATAGGTGTAATCAGAGCTCACCACCATGTATAATAACACTTCTTTGGAAAAATTAGTTCATACTTTCAATATAGAATTTCAGGAATTCATCTCCCCCTATAATAACTCCGACAATGTAATTAGAGAGGAATTTACCAGCCCTCACCTGTCATGTAGTAGGAGAAGCTGCAGAGAAAGTTCTTTAGCTTGGAGCAAGGACCCCATTAAAATAGCGGCTAGAGGCGGCATGGAACGGACTGGGAATTGGGAGCCTTAAATGAAACAAGCTGAGAAACCATAGACGGCCAGGACCTCCTGCCACCCTCACGAAAAGTCTGGAGTTCCCTGAACTCTAGGATCTGTGTGCGAGGTCTGAGAACTATGTGAATTATTCTTTATGAATGTAATTTTCAAAGTAATAAAGCTACCATTTAGAACCTACCTCATATGGTAAAGGAATAAAATAACTCTTCGGTTTTACTCCTACACATCCCAAAAAATAAACAAATTTGTGAAAAGGAAAAATAATGCCAATTTGGAAGCATGAATGCAATTCAACAAAGAAGAAAAATTTAAACTGAAAAGACTACAAAATATTTCAAATTTTTGGGATCTTCTGAATATATCTATGGAAAATGTTAGGTTGAATCATATGAAATTGGTTATATTCTACCATTTTTGACCTACAAAAAAATGGCAATTTCGTATAGTCCAACCTAATAGGTGGCTAGTTGGAAGCTCTAATTATTGACTTTGTAAAAATTCTATAATGTAGAAAAGTCTTAGCACTTTTAAACTAAACTAGGTTTCAACTTAGTAGAAGTGAATAATTTGTTACTTTAACTGGTTTCAATTACCTGATTAAAAATTAATAAGCTTAACTGGAGATTAATCATTTTTTCTACCCCAAAAGAGCTGTGGATTTTTTTTGCCTACCCAGTGTGAGACGTGTCTGAGAGGGACAGATTTATGATTGGTTCCAAGAAACTAAAACCAAGAAATTGTTGGTTTCTGTGTTTTCTAAGTTCCAATTCTACACAAATTCAGGTGATAATATGCATAAGACAATAACTAGAAGACATGAGTAATGTGATTTAATAGCTTGAGAACACATCATATGAATCCTGTGTGCTTCCAAATTCCATGTCAGTGGCATTCAGGTACCATTTCCATGGAGCCCACCTAAATTATAAAATTATGGTTCACTAGAGTCACAAGTTTAACCAGAGGTCTCACCCTCACTCCAAGCACCTGGCTCCAGATTCCTTAAAGATGTGGTAGTGTTGGAATAAGTGATTGCCCCCATATCATTCGAGTATTCACTCATTCTTCAGTTAGTCATTGAGTGCCTGCCATGAGTCAGGCATTCAATATTCCACATATTGTTGATATAGTGGGGAGCAAGATAAAGAAAATCTCAGCCCTTGTGGAGCTAACATTCTAATGTTGAGAAATATTCAATCAATAAACAAACAAGAAAAATACTAGATAGCAACCGGTACTATGTAGAGAATTAGAATGGAGAGTTACTTGAGATGAAGTGGCCTGGGAAGGCTGCTTTGGCGAGATGACGTTTAAGCTTGCTAGCATACGGCAGGGAGAGAGAGAGGAATTCGGGCTAAGTACTAGATTTAGGGTTTAACTCGGTACACTCAAAGTGTGGTCTGAGGCCCTGTGGCAGTCTGAAAGCTATCACCTCTCCACCTTGCGATAAGTATAGAAATTGAGAGTAACCATTAAGAAATTTTAATGGATGAATAGTGGCGCCATTTCCTGAGATGAGGGTGAGCAGGGTAGCAGCATCTCTGGGGGACAGACATCAAGTGTGTCGTGTTTGGACCATGCTAAGTTTGAGATGCCTATTGGGCACCCACACCATGATGTAGAGTAAATCGTTGGTATATGACTCCCAAGATGTAGAGTGGACCATTGGGTATATGAGTTCTGGGGAAAGATCAGGCTTGGAGATGTGGATTTGGAGTCATCAGCACACAGAAGGTATCTCAAGCTATGAGACTGGATGAGATCACCTACCTAGGATTAGGAGCTAGCAAAGGAGACTGAAAAGGAGCAGCTAGAGAAAGAGAAGGAAAACCAGTTTGGTGTCATGAAAACCAAGAGAAGAAAATGTTTCAAAAAGAAGACAGTAGCCATCTGTGTCTAATGCTGCTGAGAGGTCAGGTAAAGTAAGAACGGATAAGTGACAACGGGATATGGCAAATTTGGAGACCCTGATAATAGTAATGTTGGTGGAACGGTGAGAACACAAACCTAATTGGAGTATGTTTGTGAGAGAACAGGCAACAAGGCAATGATCCCATAACAAGAGAAAATTATTTGAAATAGTTTAGTTGTGAGGGGAGCAGAGAGATGCAATGGAGGTGAATGTGAGGTCAAGGGAGATCTGTTCAAGACAGGCTCCCCTCAAGCATGCAGATGGGAATGTCCGGTAGAGACCGGAAGTTGGTGATGCAGGCATGCATCAGAATGCAGTTCAGAGTAGCTTTGCCAAGATACCATATGGGCGGTTCTACATATTGAAATGGACATGAATAATAGTTATGGAAATTACATTCCATCTTCATTCCATTCCCTACAGGATTCTACTGGGGCTCCATGCTCAAGGTGAGGAATCAGGATTCACTAAGGCAGTTTGGGATTATAGTAGAGACACTGAAATCACCTTTAGTGCTCCATGGTGAGGAACTGGAAATGGAACATGCCTGGTTTATTTGAGTTTTGTGATATAAATCTAACATCTGAGTCTTAAAAATGAGTTGCATCCTCAAGTTATACTGATAGACAACTTCTTCCTCACCTATAAAAATTGAAATTGAAACATGTTTGCCATTTTGACAGGAGTACAAAATTTCAAGCTTTGAGCAGAGGCTGATGAATGAAATAGAGTTTCGTTTGGAACGTACCCCTGTTGATGAATCAGATGATGAAATCCAACATGACGAGATCCCCACGGGCAAGTGTATTGCTCCCATCTTTGACAAAAGACTCAAGCACTTCCGTGTCACAGAAGGCTCTCCAGTCACATTCACCTGCAAAATTGTTGGGATACCTGTTCCAAAGGTAGGGGAAGATGACTAGCCAGCTGGCCGACCAACTGTGCAGGACTGTAGACAGCGCCTTCAGGAAAGTCTTATCAGACCCTAGTGAAGCATCTACAGAGAGAATGAAAACCAATAACAGAAAATTGACAAAGCCCAGATAATTTGACTGAAAAAAGAGACACTCAGGAATAGGATTGTTAAATAGTCAGGCCAGAAATAAATCAGACTTATGGGTGTTAGAATTTTAATAAAAGCTTAAAATAAACTTCTTAGTCATGATCTTCTATTTTGGGCTATTGATTCTGTCAGCCATCAAACTCACCAAATTGATATTTTTGTTCCTATTTAACATCTATTGAATATCCACACAGTTCCTGTTGTTGTACAAAGTGAACTATATTTGTATCATTACTCTTAGGTTGGTAAATGCTGAAAATGTCATGTCATTATCACTGACTGCTAAAAAATCTTATGAGTCACCAGATTTTCTGGCAGTCAGCTGAGAGAAGGATTGATACTCAGTGCGGCTGCGGCAGAGAATCTCTCCACTCTGCTCTCACAAACGTTAGCCGTGGCGTTATCACGTATGGTTAGGTAACCAGGAAATGTAGAGGACGGCAGCTGCAGCCAGTACTTTCTCTCCTCCTGTCTTTGAGAAATCTCCTTGATACATGCAGAACTTAATCTGGAAAATATATTTATTTAAATTTTAGCCAGATGAGAAATTTAGTTGAGTGAATCCTGGCTTCATTCCACTTGGTATAATAAACCAAACTACCTTTTCAAGCAAGGTGGGCTATTCTAGGACCTGAGACTCTGTGACTACAGAAGACTTAAGCTTGTAAACAGGATGAAGGGAAAAGATTCAGCTCTTGGTTTTCATTATTTTGGCTTTGAAGACATGTCTGGTCCTTAGGGTGGTTTTTTAAGTAATTATGAAGTACAATAAAAATAGGCAAAAGCTTTATCTCGATCCTAAATTTTGTAGAATTTTTGACTTAAACATTGTATATGTACAAGCGGAGGAGCATATTATACTGCCATTTTTATCACTTTTTTCTAAGTACTTTATAAGGGATGGGTCACCTGTAGAGATGGCAATCAGCCCTTGCCTCACTTTACTCCCTACTTCATTTCCCTCTAAAGATAGACAGAACAGTGTATATTCCCTTGATCATCTTTCATTTCAGGTTTACTGGTTCAAAGATGGGAAGCAGATTTCAAAGAGAAATGGGCATTGCAAAATGAGGCGAGAAGAAGATGGGACATGTTCTCTGCACATTGAATCTACCACCAGCGATGACGATGGCAACTACACCATCATGGCTGCCAACCCCCAGGTGGAGACGCAGGGCTCTGCGCTGTGCTGCACTCAGAGGAAGGAGCAGTAGATGTTGTGAATGAGACCTTGAGAAGTGCGAGTTACTAAGGATTGCTGAGGAAAATGAATGAGAAGCATTGTGATTGTGTGTAGTGAGAGCACAGTATCACAGCTTAAAAGATCAGTTAGACACTGATGGATCTCTCAAATCTTCAGCCTTTGTCAAAGGACATTAGTATTTCTTCCTTATGTCCCAGATCTCTTGGGCTAAATCTTGTGTTTATCAATTCATTGACTTTCTTGAAAAGTCAATAAGTCATTCTATCAAAGAATGATTTCTTATTTTTGTTCTTTTGAGAATAAGCAAATTACTTTATAAAGGCTTGTGACTATCCCTCAAACTCATATGGTCCTTTTTCATTGGTAAAAATTAGAAAGTCATAATCTTTTACTTTGCTTTTCTGAATGAGATCAAGACTTAAAATTCCCCTAAAAGATATGGCAGAATAAAATATCTTCCACTACTGTTAAATAGGAAGTACAAAACCATAATTTCTAATCTCGCCCACTCTTCCTATTAAAATGTTTGTTAGTTTTGAAGATAATCTCTATTGAGTAAAGTATAAAAATAGTTGGCCATGATCTCTGCATGTGGCTGCAGATAAGGTTAAGTTCACAATAATTCAAATTTTTTTACATTTGTGCTCTGTTCATTTCTCAGCTTAAAAATGAAAGTCATCACAATATTCTTAAAAATCCTTCCCCCTGGAATACTAACAGTTATTTAAGAAGTCACATTATATTGTTTTCATCCCCTGATCCAAAGAAAAACTCATAATAGTTAGCCAAAAGCTTCATAATGTTCAAGTCCAGAAAAATTTATATATTGAAAAAATGTGGAATTCTTATTGAATCTCATTCCTTTTCTGTTTTTTCAGGGGAGAATCAGCTGTTCTGGCCACTTGATGGTACAAGGTTTGCCCATTCGCAGTCGACTAACATCCGCTGGTCAGTCTCACAGGTAAAGACAATAAGAACTTCCCCCTCTAGTCTCTCCCAAGCATCCATCCCTTACAGTGTACACCAAAGTATTGAGTTCACAGATTGTTGCTTAAGGGTAGCCCTCCCCCTGCAACATCAGCATCACTTGAGAACTTGTGGCAAATACAGAATCCCAAGCCCCACCCCAGACCTTCTGAATCAGAATCTTAATTTGAATCAGAATCAGAATTTTAATAAGATCCCCAGGTGATTCATAAGCACACTGAATTTGGGCAGCACAGATCTACGGCACGATTTTAATGGTTCAAAATTTGCAACCGTCAGTAGCACCTGTGCACATAATATCTAAATTGGACTCTTTGAATTAAATTACCATCTTTTCTTTAATGAAACAGAAGCCATTAACGGTTATGTGTATATAGATCAAATATTTTGGTTGTGGTTGTCTCCAATATAGTAACTGGCTTTCTTCCTCTCTGGTTTTACTAACCACTAAGAAAAAAGAGCCTGGCTTTCTCTTGAGTCTTGTGGTGCCACAAAGCCTTAGCAAAGCATTCCACAGTTGCTGACGTGGATGAATTGAATTTGACTTACCAAAGGAACAAAAATAGAGACCCACGTTTCAGATACAGTATTTCACCATCATTGCAACTATACTTTCATCTTCATTTTGTTGTTTCTTCTTCAAGAGCAGCTGTTACTGTTGGTCGGTTTTAACCAGTTTTAGTTCATGATCATCTCTAATGGTCTGCCATAATTTATTAGCCAGGTTAAATTCTATTACTCACAGACACAGGGATTATCACTGCCTTGTTCTGGGTAATAAACAAGACTTTGCTTTTGGCTCTTCTTTGAGGTTCAGATTGAATACTGATTTATTTGTTTATTTTGAAACTTTTGAACAACTGGTCAACCCAAGATAAGGGGCGCTGAGCCACTTAACCCAGAATGACTTCAGAGAGAAAGAAGCTAAAGCCTGTTTATTGGATTTCAGATCTCACAAGATAATCCTGCAGTGTAGGAGATGCTTACCACTTTGTGTTTTACATCATTATTTATTATTTATTATTTGTATTATTATTTGTTTGGTCTAGCAACCTCCTTTCTCTCCCCCCACAAAAAAATATCTGTTCTCTGGACCCTATAGCTGTGCCTAAATGCCTACTGTCGTAAGTTTGTAAATTAGTTTCTATGTTTAATTCCTGAACATGCTTGTCGTTATAGAGGAAGGTCCCGAGTGCAAGAAAGAGACAAAGAGCCCCTGCAGGAGCGCTTTTTCCGACCACATTTCCTGCAGGCTCCTGGGGATCTGGTGGCTCACGAGGGGCGCCTCTGTCGGCTGGACTGTAAGGTAGACTCTAGCACCCATCCTTGGCTCCAGATCTGTTCATATTTTATACTGGTTTATTTGTTTGCACTTATTTTTATTTGTTTTATGGTTTGTTTGGTTTGGGTTTTTTTTCAAGGAAAGGAGCACTGGGGAAGGGAGAAAGATCACTTTTTTCCCACAAGGCCCTTTGGACCGCTTAATACCAGACGAAAGGATTTCATGACATTTTTGTGTTTATATCTTAATAAAAATTACATTGGTTCTCTATGAAGTTAACTCTGCACTCGTAAAAGACAACCAGAAAGGTGATACAATTCAGACATTTTCCATATGGAGCCTGGAAAGTCTTTATTACTGTAAAGCCGAAGGTGTGATTTTCGCGTCCTCGGAGTGAATTGCTGTGAGGCATAGCCTTTGGAAAAATTACAGTCATGAAAAAATGGCTCCAGGGCAATTTATGAAAACAGAAGCTGGTTTCTCATCCTAATCAGCATCCATCTCCTTTAGCTGTTCTACGTTCCGAGTCTTTGACCAGAAACTAGGTTCAGTTGAGCAGTGTGGATATCTCTCAGCATGAAGAGAAACTTGTCACCCCTTCTGCCCCAGACAAAGATGCGGAATGCTAAGGGAAATTTAGACGTAAATTAGTAACAGCTTGAGGTTAAGCATGTATGAGCCAGTTCTCTAAGTGGTTCTCATTCTCCCAGTGGCTGCCTAAACAATATTCAGGACTGACCGTTACTTCTTCTACCCCAAACCCTAAAAGATACCCATGGGTCCCGTCCCCAGAGGTTCTGATTTAATACAGTCAGTGGGCATTGGGATTGTCAAATACTCCTCCTGTGATTATATACACAGCAAGGTTTGAGAACATTGGCTTAATGTCTGCTTTTTTCTTGGCGACCTCTTGCTTATTAGGTATGTAAGCAAATATCATCTCTGAAATTGACACTGCAGGCCTATGTTATCAATCTATTTAGCTTTTTAATTGTCATTTATTCTAATCTAGAATATAATCATGACCTGAATTGGGGTCAAAATACTAAACAGTTTAAATTCAGACCCCTCTTGTCCTGATGCCCCCACAGAGAGGTTTTTTACCACCCCATATTTTCTCTCACTGTCTGTTTGGTGCCAGACAAGGATGAAGAATTCAGCCACCAAATAAATCTTCCTGTCATCAGTCTGTCATTTGCCTCAGCTGTCCTGTTGTTTATTAGGTGAGTGGCTTACCACCCCCAGAGCTGACGTGGCTGCTCAATGGCCAACCTGTGCTACCAGATGCCTCCCACAAGATGCTGGTCAGGGAGACCGGAGTCCACTCTCTGCTCATTGACCCACTCACTCAACGCGATGCAGGGACCTATACATGCGTTGCTACCAACAAAACCGGACAGAATTCCTTCAGTCTGGAGCTCACTGTAGTAGGTGAGGTTTGCTGCTGGGACCCCTAAACATAACCCCCTCCAAAGTTATTGCCCAAGTATGCAGAACGTCTGAAAGAACTCCTTAGTGCTTTGCCCCACCAAGTCTAACTTCATTTTTCCCTTCCCTGTAGTAAGGGCCATATTTCCTACATTGATTTCAAAAACAAATTAGTAAGCTAAAAACATAATATGGTACCTTGTGCATATTATGCATGCAATAAGTAGGAGTCATTGTAATTTGTAATAGTTAATTAATCAATTAATCGATTGATTATCACTGACTTCAAGTCATTGGCCCTGCAGTTCGTCACCCTTGGAACACACTAAGCTCTGCCCTGACCCCAAGCTTCCACGCCCTTGCATCCGTGATTCCGCTACCTGGAATGGCCTTCTTTGCCTAGCAACCTCCTACTCATCGTCAAAGGCTCAATCCAAAGGTCACCACCAAGGCACAGTGGATCCATCAGGCATCCTCCTCTGTTTCCTTAGCACTTAGAAAAGGAGAGACTTTTAGAGCACTTACGGCCTTCTGTGTAATTGTTTACTCCTTTGCCTCCCTGAGGAAACTATGAGCTTCTAAGGTCAGAGATTCTGACTTGTTCTTCTGTGTATCTCTGGTGTCTGACTCAGTGCCTGGAACACGGAAGGTGCTCAACAAACGTTGAGTTGATAACTAAACTAATGAACCTTCACCTTATAAAATGATGTGAACAAAATGCTGTAATGCCTACCAACAAGGACAGAAGTCACCATCACCTGGGGGCAGTAGTAGAGCCAGAATTAGACTTCTGAATATACGAATTCTAGTGCTAGGCTTTCTCCCATGTGTGGCACCTAAAGGAAATCAGGGTAACCAGCATGCTAATCCTCGCTAGAGGCCAGTGGCTGTTTCCCCCATATATCTTTTTCTTTTTCTCACTCTTAATTTCCTCTTACCAATAGACTAGGAAAAGCTCATTGTGCAAGCATATATTGATTGCCAGCTTTTACTTTTTTCCCACTATTTTAATAAAATATTGACTCTGGATCTCTGAAATATGAGGTATCTTTGCCTTAATTGGTTCTGGCCAGAACAAAAATGCCTGCTTGGGAAGCATAATTCATATTTTTAAAAAAAAATAGTATACTTCTTTCAAATTTTCTGTAGCTATAAACTCTTTTAAAATAAAAAGTTGAGGAAAAATTAATATATCTTCCTCAAAATAAAGTCCTCTAAAAAAGAGAAAGGATATATTCAGTACATAAAATGTATTATTCCTCAAAATTGACTGCTGAGCAATGAAAGAAACTCTTTAAATTCCACACCTACCATTTGCATCCTCTGTGTGGGACCCAGGTCCTTGAGTGTCATCTCTCATAAGATGTGCAGACAGTCTCTTCATTTCTTTTTTAATCATTTCTGGAGCTTTTATCAAGCCAGTGATCTTCACTTTGAGGCCTGGGAAGTGTTCTGAAGAGGCGGTAAGGTGGGTGGGGGCCCACTCCACTAAACTCCAGAACCATGATGAGTCTGAGGCATGAACCCCAAGGCACTTACTAGTCAAACTAGAACTATTCTTCTCTCATTCAGCCAAAGAGGTGAAGAAAGCGCCAGTTATCCTGGAGAAACTGCAGAACAGCGGGGTTCCCGAAGGCCACCCGGTGAGGCTGGAGTGCCGCGTGATAGGCATGCCACCACCTGTGTTCTACTGGAAGAAGGACAATGAGACCATCCCTTTCACCAGAGAGAGGATCAGGTACAGCCCCCATCCATGTTCAAAGGCACTTCCAAGCTTAGTGGGGCTTCTTGGGCCACCCAACTGAGTCTGTAGCCTTTGGAATCTGCCTTCTTTCATTTAGCATAATGCACTTGAGTTTCATCAATGTTATCGTGTATATCAAGAATCTATTCCTTTTTGTTGTTGAAAGGTAGTCTATTGTATGAATGTCCCACAGTTTTAAAAGCTTAATTTAAAAAAAAATTTTTTTTCTGAGGAATATTCACCCTGAGCTAACATCTGTTGCCAATCTTCCTTTTTGTATGTGAGCTGCTGCCACAGCATGGCCATTGACAAATGAGTGGTGTAGGTCTGTGCCCGGGAACCGAACCCAGCCCACCAAAGCAGTGGCATGCGAAACTTTAACACTAGGCTGCTGAGGCTGGCCCAAAACCTTAATTTTTTTTTTTCCTGATGAGGAGAATTTTCCCTGTATTAACATCTATGCACATCTTCCTCTATTTTGTACGTGGGTTGCCATCTCAGCACGGCTGCCAATGAGTGGTATGGGTCCACGCCTGGGAAGCGAGCTCACCAAACTTAACCACTAGGCCATGGGGCCAGCCCCTTAAAAGCTTAATTTTTAAGTTTAAAAAATGTATGAGAAATTTATGGAGATCCTCCTATTTTTTGTCATGTGTCTTCAGTAATATAAGTACCCAGAAAACCTCTGACAGTAAAAAGTTAAAATAGGATAAAGCAAAACAAAATATTAAGGCAGTTACACTCCTTCTCCAGCCATCACTACGTGGTTATTTTTAAAGTAACTTTAAGGATCCAGTTTCTTAAAGTGGGTGCCCCCCTTGATGGCCCTTAACCAATCTTATTTCCTTGTCATTTGGGTTTTATGCCACAAGGGGGCAAGCAAACAAAGGTAGCTTGTGTACAAAAATTTCCACTGAGAATTACTTCTTCACAGTAAACTGAATTTGTGCCAGAGGGTGTTGTAGCTATCAGGTTTTGCAGAATTTTCGCATCTAAGAAGGCTATGTATATATAGGTCAGGATTTTTCTCTGGTAAAACTTAGGCAAGAGCAGAAATGTTCTTGAGTTAACACTTCAGTCTAAATTGACGCAGCATGTTAAACCCAGGCTGAAATTCTGGAGTAATTATCAGGACTGCAATATGCAGCCAAGGTTGAGAACTGCTGACATAAAGAAAACAGAAGGGAGCATGCTGAGTTGCTCCTGAACCGTATTACGGAATGCTGAATGCCCAGTCGGTTACACTAAGAAATAACCCCCTCCCCGCTCACAGTTCACCCATCCCTGGGCTCTCGTTTTGGTCTCCATTCCCACAGCTTCCTAACAAAGTTCTGTTGAAATTTCCAACCTCGTCTGGAAAAGAGATTTTTCTGGGCTTTGGTTGTGACGAGTGGTAATCTCCCTGGTGGAGGAGTACAACTCCAGGAGAGTTGGAGCAGTGGGGAGGGCAAGAGCAGGCCTCAGCCTTGGCTGTCGACCCTCACCTCGGCCTCATCAGGTTCACTGCTGCTCTTTTGTGACTTCTTCTCACCTTCAAGTGTGCCTTTGATATTTGCCTTAAGCTGAGTGCCCTGTCCTCTCCCTAGGGGCAGGGACAGGAGGGGAGCACAGCATTGCTCCACTTGCCCCAAGAGTTCCCCTGAGCCCTAAACTCGACAAGGCTGTTTCTGTCCCCAAATACAATATGAATATATTCTTTCTTTCCTCCAGTATGCACCAGGACGCAACTGGGTATGTCTGCCTTCTCATCCAGCCAGCCAAGAAATCAGACGCTGGGTGGTACACGTTGTCAGCCAAGAATGAAGCAGGCATCGTGTCATGCACTGCCAGGCTGGATATATACGGTAGGTGTAATGGCATTGGTCAAACATCTGTGTATCATAGGCAACTCAAAAATCTTTTTTTTTTTTAAGCATAGGTGCAATATGCTTCCATAAATGAATTGGTTAGATTATGTTTTAGTGCTTAAGGGACGGATTTTAAAAGTCATTTCATCCTAGTCACCTCACAGCTTTTGTACACTTTTACGTTTCACTATGAGGTTAAGCTTCTTCCAAAAGAGAGACTCTAATACTAGGAATTAGAGCTACTTCAGAGCGCACGTGTGCTTGTGCTTCTAATCATCCAGCGTCTTCAGGCCGACTCCTTGCTGCTGTGGGCCACCACTGGAACTCCCTCCTCACTGCCTGTCATTTACCCCAGACAGACCTCCCCCTAGCAGAATTTTCCTGACCCTATTCATCTGTTAAATTAGTCCATAAATATTTATTGCCCTAACCCCACAATCAGACTAACAATACAGAGCTGTATAATAATAATAATATCAAATGACATTTGTATAGTGACTTGTAATTTACCAAATTGTACCCTTAGATCCTTTCAAACCCATGAGATTATTGTAATTGTTGTTACTCTCATTTAAATGCTGAAGAAACTGAGACTCAGAGAGGTTAAACGACTACAGCCAGATGCAAATCCAGGTGTTTGTATTGTTCCTTTGAGCTATGTTTCTAATTTTCAACAAGATTTAACAATTTAACCTTTATTAAGGTGTTTGTATAATCTACTCCTCTCCTCTATAATTTTGACATTAACTGGTATTTTTTGGAGACAAATTTCTTAACCAAGAAGGGTGATTTTTAAAAAAATAATCAGTGGCCGGCCTGGTGGCACAGTGGTTAAGTGCACACGTTCTGCTTCAGCAGCCCGATGTTTGCTGGTTCGGATCCTGGGTAAGGACATGGCACTGCTTGGCACATCATGCTGTGGTAGGCGTCCCACATATAAAGTAGAGTAAGGTGGGCACGGATGTTAGCTCAGGGCCAGTCTTCCTCAGCAAAAAGAGGAGGATTGGCAGCAGTTAGCTCAGGGCTAATCTTCCTCAAAAAAAATAAATAATAAGTAAATAATGAAATAAAATAATAATCAGTAAGCTTGATAACTTTCTTATTCATTACATACTGGTTAATGATTAACCAAAATAACAAATAAGAGTAACTCTGTCTAGAACCTGAGGCCCCTGCTATTTATAGATGCACATCAGGTATCCCTTTTCTTAGTAGCACTACAGGAGGGGCCGTGGCTTGGCATTTTCTCTAGGTTTAATATTTGGAGGAAATATATAGCTTTCTGGTTATTTTCCCTGATCCTTGGACTTGAAAAGAAATTCAGCTGTGAGGAAGCTGACACTAATGTACTTTCCCCTGGGAGGGTGGGGAGAGAGAGAGACCAGTGATATGTTTCTTAATCTAGGCTAAGTTCCTTAGCCATTTTGCCCACTTCACTATGTCAGAAGGAAACAGGTCCCCAACTAAGGAACTCAGTACCAATAAGCCCTGAAACTAATGAACCTTGTCCCAATCCTGCCTGCCGGTGACTGGGTTCCCATTGCAATTTGTCCCGGCTCACCTCTCCCCAGCTCCTGTCCTGATTCCACAGCATCAACAATAGGGGGCGCTAGTTCCTCAGTTGGGACCTGGGGATGGAGGCAGAGATAGAGAACTTGGGCTAAAATGAATCCCCTATCCCCACCACTTCCTGCCTAAGAAACAGGGACAGTGGGTTCCCCTCTCATTGAAAGGAGGACTTCCAACAGTAGCAATTACAGTAGCTCGGTTAAGGTGTCAGAGAGAGCAGGGAAAGGCTAAGAGAGGAGGGCATGAGGGAGAGACTTGACTAGCTGTTCACAGTGGCCTCACTGAGTGCCTGATTGTTAGTGGAATTTCTTTATGTTTTGTCATCAGTTTTGGGGTGTTTTTCTTTTTTTTTTTTTTTTGAGGAAGACTAGCCCTGAGCTAACATCTGTGCCCATCTTCCTCTATTTTATGTGGGACATGTGCCACAGCACGGCTTGCCAAGCGGTGCTTAGGTCCACACCCGGAATCCAAACCCGTGAACCCCGGGCTGCTGAAGCAGAATGTGCAAACTTAACCACAGCGCCACCTGGCTGGCCTCTTGTCCTCAGTTTTATAGCTTCCAAAATTTGATTTTATCAATTCACTCAGAGGTATTTAGCATCTGAAAAACTAATTCAAAATAAAGAAATCAACAAAGGGCCAATTTACAAATGGGAACCTGAAAGGGTCCATAGTTTTCCAGGACTCAGAGCCTCAGTGTTTCCCACCCGATGTGCCCACTTCTCCACATCAAGGTCCCTGGAAAACTAATCAGAAGACTGCTCGGTAATTTCTGAGTTGGAGACAACAGCGGGGACTGTGCGGTTTTGATGGATATTTCATTCAGGCCATGTTCAAGCCCAAGGACAGTGTCTGCTGAAAACAGGATCTCCTTTGGACCGTGCTTGATGAACATGGAAACTAATAAATTCTCGTCTGTCACTGAACCATAGTTGATTGCACATAAGTTACTTCTCAGTCTTCTTGATGTAACTCATAAGAACCTGCTTATGGCTGATTGGGGTGATTAGGGTGTGGAGTAGAGACTTCTCAGAGGGCTGGACCTATCTTTTGGCTTCCGCTTCCACAGGTTTCTTGTCTCCACCTTCTGAAGTACCCTCCCTTGAGAGCCTACAGCCCTCACTACACTGCCCCTGGCAGATCCCACACTGGGTCAGCAAGAGGGAATAATTTTCAGAAATCACACTAGTCACCCATTCTTCCTTTTTATAGTCCCAAATTTTACTGGATTAGAATCATAGATTTGGAATTAGGGCTTAAGAGATCACCAACCCAGTTTCCCTATTCCTAACAGGGAAGGAGAGATTTTACGGCTCTCTTCTACAAATGAGGCATTTCAGACCCAGACACATTTCAACGCCTTAGCAAGATGCCACGGAGAGTGCTGGAGTGAGGACAGAGCGCACTCCTGCAGTGTACCTGCTAGACTGTACTCTTTTGATTGTAACATGTTATTTGGTCCATTTTCCAGCCCAGTGGCACCAGCAGATCCCACAGCCCATGTCCGTCCGGCCCAGTGGCAGTCGCTATGGATCTCTCACCAGTAAAGGACTTGACATTTTCTCTGCCTTCTCTTCCATGGAAAGCACAATGGTGTATTCATGCTCTTCTCGGAGTGTAGTGGAGAGTGACGAACTTTAAGAATGTCTGGGTGCCTGCTGTGTAAGGGGGCAGACTGTGGAGGGGGAAGGAGGACAAGCCAGACACGGTGGTTTCCAAGCAACTGGATTTGAGTAAGTTCCCATGCTGCTGGACCTGTGGCAAGGAATGCTTTGAATAAGTCAGCTAGGGACTCCTGCAGTCTTGGCTGAGGGAGAGATGGAGGGCTGTGCCTTTTAAAGATTCCAACAAAAAGTGAGAATACAATACAGATGAACCAAAGATGTCATGCAGCTGCCATCCACTGCTTTGGGAAAAAGCTAACATGCTCCCCTGCCCCCTGCTGTGTTAGGGATGTTTAGGCCCTTCTAGGGGCAATTAGGGGCCATAGGCTCGGGCTGAGAGGAGTTAGACAGTAGTGACCTTAGGTATCACTAACTCAGCGGACAATGCAAAGGCGAAAAGTGGGGAGGTCTGCATCGCCTTTCGTTGATTACATCCATAGCAATGGTTTTTGTGGATTCATTAAATCAGCTTGAACTTAGCATTTAGAGATGCAACTCATATATGTGGAGAAGCACTTTTGATTTGTTTATCCTGGGTGTACTGAGCCACACAATAAGGTGCCAAAATGTGCTTGAGATGCAAAAAATTCATTGAAACACTCAATATTGCACAGTGCACTTATTCTGTAGCCCCACCAGCCTGTCTGTCCATTTTCTTTTGGATACGATGGTGAGTGGTTTCTCTTTCCAACTTATTATATCCCTAGACTCTAGAACTAAAAGTTTGTTAATAAACCAACCAGAAAGAAGTCTTCTACAGGGTCACTTTTAAAACTACTAGCTTCAATTGCCACTTGCAATATATGCGCGAGTCATCATCATCTTCCCACAAAATACTGACCCTCCTGCTCCTCCCTTCTCCCCGAAAGTCTGGAGTGCATGAGGCAGTGAGGAAGGAAGAGATGCAAACAAGGAGAGAGGTGATAGGAGAGTCTTGTTTTTCACTTGCCCCAGCAAAGCAGTGGTTGTGAAAGGAGAGGTCTTTAAGAGTTGTGGACTGCTTTGATATCATTACTGAAATTGCATTTTCTACATAGAAAATGTTATGCTAGCTGAGAAAATGGGAGGAATGCGGAGTATGCATCTTTATTCTAACTCACAAATTCAAAATTGGTGCCTCTCAATTTCTGGAATTTTTAGACTTAAACTCACTGCGATATCCCCAGTGCCTAGATGAGTGCTTAGCACACAGTAGACATTCAGTAGATATTTGTTAGATGAATGAATCTTGTAGTAGAAAGAGAATCTACAATTCACACAGCAGTGCAAAAATTGCCCTAGGAATTGTCGCCACAGCATGGTTTGCTCCAGATTCACCAGTGAAATGAACTGGAGGTGGCTGTCTCCGACTCCCTGTGGGCAGGTCTCTGGTGGTCTCTGAGCCAGGCACCCTCTCCTGGCATCTTACTCAAGCGAACAAGTAGTAATTGCTTAGAAAGGCTTGAAACCTTCTTCACTTCAAGGCAAGGATTTCCAGTATAAAAATAAATTCATTCACTCAAAAAATCATTTGTGTTTCTACTCTGTATAAGATGCTATGCTGGAGACCGTGGGTGACACAAAGATATGAATAAAACACAGTCCCGTCCTCAGTGAGCTCACAATCTAGAAGGAGAGGTAAAATACAAGGCATGTAGAGTCTACTTCTCGGGGCAAAAATCTATTCTTTATCAAATAGAAGTTTCCAGTACTCTTCATCCTATATTTTTCATGACTCTAAAATCATCTTATTTTCAATCTTTATTTCTTAATGAAAAAAATGCGAGAGGTTACATTCTTAAGAAATAAAGGTTTCAGTCAATTATTTAACAGAATTATTAGTTTTTTTACTTTTTCATGTATGCAGGAACAATAGTAAAAATATATGCAACTGTAATGAAACAGAATGCATTTCGTACAGAACACATCCTATAAAATGTTCTTTTTGCTATTGACTTTATTATGAAATCTCTTTATGACCAGAGCACTTTCTAATTCTAGGATTGCTTCTCCACAGTTGTGCACCGATCTTCTCCTTACATCTATTTGTATAAACTCTAGACAGTTCTTCTGTTGAACTGTCTGGATGAAGAAAGGATATTCTTCATCTCTGTATGTCTTACCTTTCTAAGTATTTTTTACCTGTTGTCTAGTGTTCAACACAGAACAAAGATAAATATTATATTTGAACACTAGGTGGAGCTGTCCAACCTAAAATATAGCAAACCTAAAAATTCCTGAAATGTGAACTATTGGATTTTGTTAAAGCAGGGTTTCTCAACCTCAGCATTATTGACATTTTGGGCTGGATAATTCTTTGTTGTGGAGGACTGTCCTGCACATTGTAGGATGTTTAGCAGCATCCCTGGCCTCTACCCACTAGATGCCAATGACATAGCAGCCACTCTCCTGGTTGTCTCTCTAGGCCAGGCCACCCGACGTGTCTCCAGCCATTGCCATATGTTTCCTGGGAGACGGGATCTCCCCTTATTGAGAGCCACTGTGTTGAACGAATCAATGCCCTGCTTTAAGAATGCTCTTGGAATTCAATTACAACAAGGGATACTAATACAAGAAATTTTAGTTCCGCTGGATATATTTGGACTCAACGTATCCAAAATCAGATTCATCATCTTCCCTTTCATAAACATTCTTCAGCGTGGTTTAATGATTTCTATTAACGGCACGATCACTTTCCTAGTTATCCAAATAAAAAGCATCCAAGTCATTTTTTTTCTTCCTCTATCCAATCAATCAACAAATCCTGTTCATTCTAACTCTACTATTTCTTTTATATTCAGGCCTTCTTTTCCATCCCCATCCATTCCAATTCACCAGTTCAGACTTTCATTACTTTCTTAATTTCCCTCAGTACTTCCGACTTCAACCATAATAAGAGACTAACTGGTCTTCTGGCCTCTAGTTCCGCTGTTTCTCCCCACTTGAATCTAGCCTGGATCTCAGCATCAGATCATTCTTCCTGAAGTACTGCTCCAATCATATCATTCCCCAATTTTCAACCCCCCGTGGCTCCTTGGAGCCAATCCAGGTACCCGCTGTTCTGCCCTGTGGTATTCAAGGCAAGTCAATATGCTCCCAAAGCTTTTCATCCGCTGCTCAGAAAACACACCTAGTGCACCAGCAAATTTAAGATAAGCCCCTGCTTTCCAGCTACAGTCCACTCTTTGCCTCCATCGGGAAGGCTCTCTCCCCAGTCTCCGCCTACGGAAACCTTAACTGTTCCTTACAGTCCATCTCCAACGCTACTGACTCTGAAATATTTTCTTATCCCCCAGACCTCAATCAAATATAATTCTACTTTCTTTGAAAGCTTACAGCAAATTTCTTGAGGCTGGAAGAAGAGAAGTTTACTTTGTACAGTATTTTATATAAAACACAGCCTCCATATACCTGCCTGTCCCTCTGCTCGCACTAGCCCAGTCTTGCCTGCACTAGATTTTAGCTACTTCTTAGTAAGGACTGTGTCAGAAGTTTGCCATGTGCCTTATACAGAGTAAGCACTCAATAAATATTTATCAACCTAAATTGAACTTAAAAATTCTATGTAAGTCAGTGTGTTTTTAAACAAAGTGAATTGAATTCGGAGCAGTGGTTCTTAACCTCGGCTACACATTACAATCTCCTGGTGAGCTTTGAAAAATCCCGATGTCCAGGCCACAACCCCAAATCGGTGAGCTCTGGGGTCATGGCACAGGCATGAGTAGTTTTTAAAGCTTCCCAGGTGATTCCAATGAGCAGCTGAGGTTGAAAAAAATCATTTTATTACCATGATTTGATCACACAAGCTACCCAGCAAGGTCCAAAGGGCTGCAGACGGCATAAGGCTATACTGTCGGCCTGGATGAAGAGCGTACCCTCCCTTTTTGCACATGCAGTGCGTGCCTGGGAAGTAGAAACAAACACGCCCTTTAGCCTTGTTAGACCCTACTATTTTGCTCTACGCTCATTAAACACAGAGCACTCATGAAGGCCCCAGAGTAAGCTCAAAAACCTGCAGAAAGGCACTGGGGGCAGAGGGAGGTCGGTGCAGCTCTTCTGGCCCTTTGTTTCAAAAAGCAGCCCAGATCCCAAAAGTACCCTTCTCTCCAAACAACTGAAGGTTTTTCATAACTTGATTAGCCATGGAAACGGGGATCAGAGGGAAAATGGAGAAAGAAAACATACCATTAAAACCAAACTGCTTTGTGGCCGGCCAGTGGCGCAGTGGTTAAGTTCGTGCGCTCCACATCTGTGGCCCAGGGTTCGCAGGTTTGGATCCTGGGCACAGATCCAGCACCACTCATCAAACCACGCTGTCGCAGCACCCCACATAAAATAGAGGAAGTTTGGCACAGATGTTAGCTCAAGGTCAATCTTACACACACACACACACACACACACACACGCACACAAACCAAACCGCCTTTTGGAAACATAGCACCCTTCAGCAAAGTTAGGTTTTAATCTGAATTGCCAAATAGTGGGACTGGTTTGAATACATCTTTCTCATTTTATTCCTCACTTAACTTTTCTAGGCATCCAATGAGATTAAATGGTTAGGAGACAAGCAGTTGGGTAGAGCCAGAGGTTTGAATGAGACAGCATGGAGAATAATTCCCGGGGGAGTCAAAGCTGACTTTTGTGACAACAGGTTAATTTGGATATTCCTCAAATGATAAATGGGTTGCCATCTAGATGTTCACTGTAAATTTGTTGTTTAAAACTCAGAATATATTTCCTCACATATCCACATCACCCAATGCTAGATTCCCAAGTGAACCCAAAAGAAGTCTAATTCATGACTGAGTTACAGTATCTATTACACTAGATTGGGTTATAACCCCAAGAAGAGGGACCTAGGCAAAGCAGCCAATAGGAAAAGAGAGACTACTTTCCCCTCCTTTTTTGTGTCTATGATGTGTCAAAGCTGGAGTGATTATGGTCCTTTCTGCATCTATCCCCTGTTCCATGTTTTTCTCCCCAGATGCCCTGTGCCCCATGTTCTGTAATCCCTGCTGTAACCCATCCCTTCACACCCCTTCCCCACGGCCTGCCAGCATGCTTCATGCTCCAAAATAACCTAACTCCAGTTCCATGCATCGTGGCTCGTTGTCCAGAAGAAAGCAGTCCAATTGAACAAATTCTGAATGCCTGAGAGTCTTTTAACTTCACAGAGGTGCTGCATTTTTTAAAGCAGTTGCATTCTTACTCCTGTCAACTTCTAATTGATAGAATTCCTGGCAAAGTTAAAAAAAAAAAAAAGGCTATGAAGAGAGGTCTAGAAAACTGACTGGGTCACACACCCAAGTTGTTCTTGTTGATCACAGCCTCCCCCTGTCCTCCTCTTCCTCACACACTCCCAAACTACTTTCCAAGCTGAGCTCCTGGACTGTGTATACGGGCTATTTATAAGCTGGTTGTAAACTCAAAGGCAAATTTACTCATAATGACCATTATTCAAGGTCACTTCCAGAGTCTTTGGGTAACCTGGACTCAAAGTATTTCTGCTGAAGGTTGAGTTGAAAATCAACGTGCCTTACCAGTTGAACAGTTACTTAGATTGCAATAGGGCTTGTTGGAGTCCTTTTCACCACTAATTGCCTTTTCTAGTTTTAAGCGGATCAATATTTCAGAAAGTTAATTAATGAAGCATTGTTTGAAGAATGTCAAGCATCTTGTAAACTTTGACAATGCAGTGGTCATCAGTATGCTAAAAAAGTTGCCAATACCATGTTTTTAAAAATCTGTGCAGCGCAAAAAAAAAAATTGCATATTTGTTAAAAGTATGTTTGCCTCTTATTTCTGTCTAATTACATTAGTTAGCATACTTGGTATTACAAAACCATAAACAGGCTGCCTTTTGTTAACGCATAAATGATGGCCACGCCACACTCTGAAGAGCAATAGCCTTGAAACTGCAAGGAATAGAGAAAGAACGCACTTTTCAATCCTCTGAGAATTGTGCCAGAAATGCTGAGAATAAGCATAAAGAAAATAGCTGTACTGTGGAGGAATACAAATACTAATTTGCCAGAAGATTTTAACATAAAAGTGAATAGAAAATGTTTTCCTAATAACAAAATTTAAAATATTTCAACATTATTTGACAATAAATATTTTAAGGCTGAAATAAATGTATGTTTCTCTTTAAAATGCAGAAAACAGTTTAGTTTCCAAGTTTACTTTTTTTTTTTTCTTAAAGATTTTATTTTTTCCTTTTTCTCCCCAAAGCCCCTCCGGTACATAGTTGTATATTCTTCGTTGTGGGTCCTTCTAGTTGTGGTATGTGGGACGCTGCCTCAGCGTGGTTTGATGAGCAGTGTCATGTCCGCGCCCAGGATTCGAACCAACGAAACACTGGGCCGCCTGCAGCGGAGCGCGCGAACTTAACCACTCGGCCACGGGGCCAGCCCCCAAGTTTACTTTTTGATGATGATAGGAGCAATTTTTTAATGTACAAATTGATACTTAAAAATGATTTTTAAAAATTATTCTTATTCAAATTGTATAAATTACTACATGAGTTATAACCTGGTTAAATATCTCTAGAGTAACAGAAAGATAATTAGGGTTTGGTCTTCTTAAAACATCAAACAAATCCAGTAGACTTCTCATAGAATGTTCTTTAACTTTCCAAGAAATTCATTCAGCCTCCTAACTGAAAACAGAGACACATTAAAAAATAAGACTTAAAGATGGGAAAGATGCTTGACCAGCGGAGTGGAGAGCTGGACCAGTTTAGATTGGAAATAAATAGAGATCCAAGTATAGTTTTGCTACAATAAGAGGTGTTTTAAAACCAGGAGAAACAGGAGTTATTTTCATATAGTATGGGAAGAGTGAATTGCTTGATGTCCCAAAATTACAAAGAACCTGTTTCTACACAGATCCAGTGAGTTATCTACAAACTAGAGGCAGACTTGTAATTTCCCCGCAATTAGTGGTCCAAGAATCCAGTGAACTAATTTATACTAGTATTGACTATGGTGGTCACACTACTAAAAGATTAGTAAACACCTGTATGTACATAGTTTAAATGGTTTTCCTGTGTATTTTAGGGAGAGTTAAAATCCTGAAATAATTCAAATGAGATAATTTGAATGCAACTGTATTTTTTAATACATATTGGTAAATTAAATTTTATTTTTTCAGTATTTTGATTTCAGAGACAACTTATCCTCTTTTCTGATTAATTTTCACTTAATTTTTGCTATCTTTAGTATTAAGTTTCTTGGCTTACCTTTCTCCCCCATTACCTCCCTGTTGAGATAAAAATTTGTAAAGTATTTAACAGCATTAGGAGAGCTCTCTATTTCTAGGAATTCTTAGGTGAATTTCTAGGTGAATTCTTAGGTGAATTCCTAGAAATAAGGGGGATTTTAATAACTCAGATGAATTTCAGACACATCCTCTAATTTTTCTATAACTCTGGGGTCTCTGTTTCTTCATCTATAAAATAAGCAAAATACTTGAGCATTTACGAAGATGGAAGGTAGGATAAATAAATAAATATTTATGAAAAGTTTACTTCAGAGACCCTAAAAAAAAAGCGGTAGCAGGTGTTTTTTTTCCCCCAAGGAAAATGTTAAAAATACTTTTCTCCAAAGTAAGTGGTTAATTTGTTTTAAAAACTCTCATTTCTTTCCTACCCCACTACTTCATTTTTCCTTAGAAGGATGGTACACACTGATGGAATTTCTTCCAAGATGGCAGGCAGTTAAAAAAAAATCTAGAGGAAAATCAAATGAATTCAAGAAATATCCTATCTGCATTCTGCAGGCAGATTCCAGGGAAACTTATTTCGACCCAGGCAGAATAGCCTAAGGGAACTCTGACTCCCGCGTCTATGATTGAAGCTGGTGGAAATAATGACTCCACAGGGCACCGAGAAATAGCAAGGAAGTCCTGTCTTCTCTTTTGACTTAGGCAGTTCAGGGCAATTCCATTTTACTGGTCCAGACCGTAATGAAGAAGCGTTCCATGCTAGCATGTCAGCAGCCTTACACCAAAATGAATCAACTTTAGGATAACAGATAGATATAGACTTTCAAAAACGAGCATATCCTTTGGTCTCTGTTTCTGCATTCTCAGCTACAGCAAGTCTGAATTCAACCCTGAAGATTCATGTCAGCCATGGGGACTGACAAAAGACGTGCATGTGCCTGAAGGCATGTGCACACACACACACACACACAAACACACACTTCAAGTAAGGAGTCGTGGAGCATCCATAGCTAACTTAATTCAAACCGAATCAAGTGACACCTTTTATGCATTTCCTTTCTCTTCCTGCATAAGTTCTTTCCACTTGAAAACACACCAGGCCCCAGAAAGCTCACAAACGTGGTATGCTTCCATCTTAGGAAGCTTGAGTCAACTTATTTTCTAAAGTCCTTTTTTGGTTATTGAAATCCTAATGGAAAAACCATTAAGATAGCCATTTTGAAATGCGTGAATTACATAAACTGTATATTTTGCCTCTATTGCTAGGAAGCAATTAATGCATCTCGGCTTTTATTCCTGTTCCTCTGCATTGTGCATGTTAGACGTTCTGTGGAACTGAAAACCAGTGATCACTTAAGCCAAAACGTTTGTGAGCATAAACTGTGTCTTTCTTCAGGAGGTATATGGTACTGTATTCTGGTAGACCACGTCATCTCCATGACACCCTTTGCTGTTTCCTAGTCGTGCTTTCTTAAAGATTTGTTGGAGGTTGTGTTTTGTTTGGAAACTTTGCAATTAGAAGAAAAGAAGGAATTAAGAGTCAGTATTTAATTCAAACTGGATGTTTAAAAAAGCAATTTAGAGGATGTGATGGACTGTTTCTTTATTCATTAAATAAAATTTTATTTATTCTCAATTAATTGTTGGGTTTGTTTTGTTTTATATTTTGGTCCCAGACTTTGTACGTGAGATGAGTCAGTTCTTGTTCTCAGTAGTTTTCTTTCAGCTCAAGTATTTTTTTGGATACAATACCAGTTTGAAACAGCAGTCCAAAAGTCCTGTGTCAGTTCCATAAAACACCTGTCAAAGCCTGCACTCACTAGTATATTCATGACCAGAGAGGGGAATGCGTGTGAGAAGGTTGGTCACATATTTATGGTCTTATATGCACTTTGAAATTTCTTTCACCCGTAGGTAGCAAAAAGAGATATCTTTTAGTGATGCCTAAGCAGAGAACAGAGTCTAGCCAAATTCAGTCCAAGAATAGCACTCCGCTTTTACTGTAAGATGGCAAAATTTAAGCAAACTGATCCTTAATTATTGAATCCTGCAGCTCTATTAACCACAATCAAAATACACTCCATCTATTTCATATCTAGCAGAAATTTTAGATCTTCATTAGTATAAAGGTCATCTCATTAACTAAGAAACTGGCTGTACCGGATGTTAAGAAAGATAGCCTAATCCTTCTTAAAATCTGCAAATACAAAGAATGGGAAGTCAATATAATCAGTTTGGGGTAATGAGGTTAATAGTGTCATAGTAGATATTGTTTAACTAAGTGGTTCTCAACTCTGACAGCCCATTAGAATCAGCTGGGGAGCATGTCAAAAATATCTATGCCCAGGCCTCACCGCAGAGCAGTTAAATCAATTCCTGAGCTGGGAGCTCCAGGCTTGGTGTTTTTTCCGACTCCCTACGTGTGATTCTAATGAGCAGTCAGGGTTGACAGCCACTGGCTCACATGGCCTTTCCCATCTGGATAGCCCCGTTCACTTTTTATGATTCTTCAAGACTGCTGACCCTGGGGTTTGGGGCCTCAACCTCCAGCTGACACCTAGGGAGAGCTGGCATATACCTAACTGAACTGAAACCCTACCTCGGGGAGGGTGTTCCTTTATAATTTAATGCTCCCTCTTAGGAGCTCTTATGGCACATATTACAAGTACTACACTGTTGAAGCATTCAGCTCCACTCTGTTTAGGACTGCCTATTGATCAGCACATGTGTACTCTTCTTGGCTGCCTACTCAAGGACAAGGATAGTGTCGAGGAAGCCTCGGTGTGAGTAGGCGCTTGATAATATTTGTTGATTAATGAGAAAAGGGAACCCGGGTAAAAGAATATTTTTGAATTTTAATTATGTCCTCTTGTCAAACTAGAAAGAACACACATTTTCAAAGGTGAACAGTATAGAATATTGTAGCAACTTTTAGGTTGCTTGGTGATCTAAACTCTATTATATATAATAATATGTGAATCTTGGAGCTCGCCCGGTGGCACAGCGGTTAAGTTCACACGTTCCGCTTCTCAGCGGCCCAGGGTTTGTCGGTTTGGATCCCGGGTGTGGACATGGCATCGCTTGGCACGCCATGCTGTGGCAGGCGTCCCACATATAAAGTAGAAGAAGATGGGCACAGATGTTCGCTCAGGGCCAGTCTTCCTCAGCAAAAAGAGGAGGACTGGCAGTAGTTAGCTCAGGGCTAGTCTTCCTCAAAAAAAAAAAAAAAATGAATCTTAACTTCAAAAAGCTTTTACACTTGCTTTATGCAAGCTCCTAATCCATAAACCGTGATGGATTTCCCAACACACAGTTTGAGGAGGTTTATGAAAGATTGGATTTGGTCACTGCGACTGATTTACATTTCCTTCAAATGTCTTCTAGGAAAAAATGGTACATTGAGTAGGGTGGAAAGCATAGGGATTTGGTAAGAGCTAAGGTGCTTCCAGAGATTTCCAAAACACAGAAACAGGCAGCTAAAGGCATCATATTTAACAGAATCCCATTCTTTTGAAGGAGTGGGGGAGGGGAAAGGAGAGGCGTGAGATTAGAATCCCATCATTTTAATTCAATTGTTCAATTTCATCAAGAAACTGCTGTTAATAACCAAAAACGAAATATTTATTGACTGTTTATTCTGTCTAAACCTCTGTAGTAAAAGCCATAGAGGTAAAATGAAAACCACAGTTCTCTTTTACAAGGTATCTACCATCCAGAGAGGAGGATGTGAGCCCTGCTTGAAAAAGGACTAATAATCAACACATCTTTGAGACCTTCTCTGATTAACACAAGACATTTTTTTTAGCATTAATTTTATTCACTCTCAAACTCTACAAGCTTACTGGGATTATTAATGAGCATTTTAATTCTAGATCAGGAGACTATTGTGCCCAAAGAGCGAGGAAGGCAGATGCCCTGAGCCTTGCCATCAGCCCAGGTGGACACCGCAAAGTGGAGTATGGCCAGAAAGGGGTCCAAGCATGGTCACTCTAGAGCTGCGCTGTCTGCTGGACTACAGCACCTTCTCAGAGCTGTTGAAGTCAAGAGGTTAAACACTTTACTCTAATGTGCAGTGAAGAAACAAAGTCCTGAGCCCACCTCCGTTTCTCATTAACAGATATCAAAAGGAAAGGGAAACTCAGTGTTAGTTCCTCAATGGATTTCTAGAGATACACTTGTGACTCTGTAAGTTTTAATTTATGGGCTTGGGAAGATACTTCACTCCTTACAAACCAAATGGATTTTGATAATTAGGGATAATAAAAAAGGAAAATTTTTAATGGAGACTTTGTAGACAAATTGCAAGTAGATGCCTGTGTCTGATGTTAGGTGTTGGAATTCATAAAAAAAAGGGGTTGGAGGATGTTGCTGTTTTTGTTGACCTGTGACAAGTTCCAAATGCACAGATAATTAGAGTCCTGCTTTTTCTAATTATTAGTAAGGCATTCTCCCACATGCATGCAGGGCTGTTGACTACCAAGTCACTCTTTACATAAAAGCTCTGGTTTATCCATCCAATGGTTAAGCAAATTTATAAAAGTAATTCAAACCAATACCATGTGTATTATTTTGCTCCCATCTTGATTGGCCTTGATGGTAGTGAACCTCTCATTGTTCAACTTGTACCGATTAAAAGGAAATCACTTCCAAAAGCAACATTTATTATTTCTCTCAATGTCTGTTTCCTACAGAGGAACAAATATATATATTTGTAAGGAATCAGTAGTTACTAATTGGCTTAATAAGGAAAATAAAATATTGAGGAACTGTATATCTACTTATTTAAAAACTAAATATTTCAATTAATTAATCTTTTTTAAAAAACATGAAAAATATATTTATATTTCCAAATTGTTAGAGAAAACTTTCAAATTAATTACTCGGACTTTCATCAGCTTGTCTTTTTGGACCAAGTATTACAAACTAGCACATTTGCCAACCAGTGGGATTAGACAGAAACACTCCACATCTTTCCTCAGGTGGGCACTCAGTGTCCCCACCGCAAAGAGGCCTTTAGTGCCATCAGGAAACTAGTAGGGCACTTCCCATGGAAAACAAACCGACGTTTTTACTTATATTTTACAAAATCTGTATTTTAATAATGTATACACAGTTTTTAAAAACACAGAGCACTCATGCCCACGTACTCTACCAAAAAAAAAAGTCTCACTACCTCATGCATGCACAAACAATGCACTAAGCATAAATGCAATTACACGACAGGAAGATAGCTCTGTTTTAAGTAAACACAAGTAATGGATACTGTAACTTCACCCGAACAGGACAAACTTACAAAGTTTAAGAAAGTCATTATTTCTTTGAGGACTAAAACAGCAGTATAGCCTAATCCTATTTTTTCTTAAGATTGTTTTCCCTCAAAGTAGTCCAGAAAGGGGAGAGGGGGCATTATTTGCACAGCAACCCAAACCATCACAATATCCATCCATGACATCTACAACACACTGATAAGGAGGAAAAAAGAAAGGCAATAAAATCGTTCGTCCGTAGGACTTGGTGCTGCGAGTAAAAGTAACCTGAAAGTTCGCTAATTTTACTCTAAGAATGATCCTAGGCCACCACACGCCCCTGTTGTATCTTGGAGGAGGGCTGCGGCTCGGGAGCGCGACCGCTGGGCCTCTCACCGCGGCGGGGTCGCGCGCCCTAACTGGCCATCTGGAAGGGCTCGGGCTGGAAGCCGAAGAGCCTCTGGCCGTAGGGCTCGCTCTCTGCTGGCAGCTTCGCGCCCGCGAATGGACGATAGTGGTCTCGGCCGAAGTGCTCACAGTGGAGACTGACCCAGTCCCGCTCCGAGCCGAATCGCTCGGCCTCGGCCAGGATGCGAGTCAGAGCCATGATGTAGCTCAGCGCCATCTGCAGAGTCTCGTACTTGGACAGCTTTTTATCCTGGCCCCACTGGGGGACCACCCTGCGCAGGCGGTCGAAGGCCGTGTTGAGCCCCTGCATGCGGCGGCGCTCGCGCGCGTTGGCCGCTAGACGCCTGCGCGCCGCGCTCTCCAGCCGTCCGGCCCCGGGGCACGTGCCCGCGCATTCGGAGCCGCCCGCGCACGGGGCCGCGGCGCGCGCTGCCGCCGCCGGGTTGCTGGGCTTGCAGGACTTCATCCCCGGCGTTGAAGGTGGGAGGCGCGGAGCTCGCTCGCCGGCTAGGACCTGCCCGTGGGCTGGTCTGTGGAGCGGCTCCCCAACGTGCCTCTTCTTAGCAAATAAGTCATACACAAAGCAACCCGCGTGGAATCAAAGTGTACAGTGGACAGTGCGGGACTCCGCCTTCTGTCCTACTGGATAACCAAAATGATGTCTCTTCACTTGCCAAAATTTAGGGGAAATTGAGATGCTGAAGAGAAAGTCATTTTCCCAACGTGAAGTTGAAAAAGAGAAGGGAAGCTTCTCGTAGCAGAATTTGGTGTGGCTGGTTACGGGAGGGCCTTTCAAGTCCTCTGGGGAAGCCTGAGACTTCTTTTCAGGAAGATGAAATCTTTCCCGAAGCTCAGATAGGGAAGGAGCGCTTTTTCCGCAGTAGCTGTCGGAGAGTGCTGGATGAATCTTTGAAGGAGGAGAATTTATAGCAGAGGGCTGAAGGAAGGAACAGGTGGTGGCAGGTGGGCGGGCGTCCCTCGGCTTCCATCTCAGCACCTTCCTACCCTGGGAACTGCAGGGGGGGAAGGGGGACGACGCACAGCAAAATCCTGACATTACAGCCTTCGTCTGTTGAAGTTTCTCCAAAGCTATGTCCAACACTAACACACCATCTGGAGTGGCCTGGCTGTCCCCAAAAGAATAACAAAGTGGGGGGTGGGGGGAGCTTGGTCCATCTTTTCCCATCCCAAGATCAGCGGGCAGCTTATATATCAAAAACTTAACTGAGGTTTTAAAATTATTAGAAATCACTTGTGTGAACACGTAGGTCTCAGAATTATGAGATATATCAGAAATTCAAGAAGATTTAGCTTTGTCAAGATGTATGACAATTTTGCATAATATTGATTGAATATATTAACAGTTTATTTTAGCTATTAAATTGGGACAAATTAGCGGGTCCTAATATTGCAGACCTGGAATTTTACTGTGCAAATAATTTGGCTGTTTTCTGCAGAATAATTTATTATAACGTATCAGAAGATATTAGTGTGTATATCAAAAATTATACTATTCTAATTATATAATTAGATTGCATGAGTTCAGATACTTAGGCAAATTAATTCAGAATTTATACTCCGTTTCCCTTAACACAGGTTCATAAATGTTTTCGGGACATACGTTGAGATGATGATCACTAAATTATTTAATGTGACATTTAAATCTAATAAAATCATAATGCATGCACATATATGTGCAAAATGGAGACACCTAAGTAATTTGTGAAGTTTTTAAAAATAATTCCCAATGAAAGGTTTTTTCCCCATCTCATCAAACTGTAAATATTACATATTACTTGGATATTGCAGTTGTGTGAAGTGACCTCAGAAACAATAATGAAGCATGATTTCCACTAGTATTGATAACGGTGAACCGATTTATACAGAAAAACCATTAACTTGATTCTCTCATCTCAGCTTCTTTCTAGCTCTTAAGGAAGAGTAAAGTGGCAAAGAGACCAGCTCCAACTAGATTCAGGCCAGAATCATTTCTGGATTCTTTAGGAAGATCAGGTATGCTCTTTCTCCTTTTGGAATATGGATTATGTTGGCATTGTTCGCGGATATTTTTGTTTAATTAAATTATCAGCAAGTTCTCACAAATCAGGAGTGTTTTAACTGTGTCTTGCTTCCCTTACCATTGCCTTGGACTGAAGCCCCATTGTGATTGCCCTGATTCCAAGTCCCGTCTTCCCATAAATTGTTGATTAATCCCCCGCTGAAGCAATGACAATGAAATGAAGTTGAGTAACATGAAGACAATGGGAAGCAATTGAACATTAATGATCTCCAGCATGACAGATGTTGCCCACAGACTTTTGCATGGAGCCGCCCAGCTCTGTTACTCTGAGTCCTAACAGTCTTGGTCTGGAACAAAGTCCTGTGACAGGAAAGACTATATTATTTAGTCATCAAAATGTCAAATACATTTTTTTGAGAGTTCATGGAAATCTGCCGTATTAATGCTATTATTTCTCATGTTCATTTATCTCATCCCTTTCTCCCAAGGAGCCTCCCCTGTGCTACTCTTTGGAATATTTCCCCACAAAACGTACTGTGCGCTGGTTCTCAACACTATTCACCAAAGCGATAATGAGAGGCATGATTTTGTAGGCCATGTATTCAGGGTTGGTGAGATTATAGCCTGTGTATCAAGGGACTCGATAGCGTAACTTGAAGAGAAAAAGGAAGCACAGCACAGCTATGTTAGAACGTAAACTGGCAGGTATTTGACATGAAATTGATCCAAGGGTAGAGAGTATTGCTGCAATAAAGGGCCTTGGAGGTATATAGTAATTCATGTCCCAAATGTTTTCTGAAGGACAATTTATTAGTACTACAAAGATGCTTCTGGGGAAAAGGGTTTCATTGTCAATTAAGTCTGGGAAACATATCTGCTCTCTCCTCCTTGGTGAATCATGAAGCAAAATTGACAAAGTAAAGTTTCTGAGAAGTCCTGGAGTAAAGAAACCTGTTGATTCCGGTGTTTCCTAGACCTTCTTGAACACAAAACCCTTTTTTCCTAGAAATAAGCAAATAAGCCTGTTAACAAAGATCCTTGGAACACACTTTTTCAAACGTACTCTAGTACGTTCCATTTATTTTATAGAGGAAGAGACAGATCCAGAGACTAAACACTGTTCTCAGCGGCATTCAGCAACTTAATGACTAAATTAAGACAAGAAATAAAATCTCCTGCATCCTTTGCTTTTAGAGGCTTTAAAATTATGAGATCACTTAATACAAGCCCCTCACTTATACTGGGGCAACTGAGATCCACCACCGACTTCCCAAAGTCAGACAAGTCATGAGTAAAAGTGACTAGAACGGTGCCTAGAAAGTAACAGGTAATAAATGACCCAGACAGAAAGGCTGGAAACACAAATCAGATAAATGATAGTTAGGGAGATGCCAGGATTCCTAGTGAATAACCCATTGGAATGATTTACGTTCCCTCACCTCGTTAAACAACACACACTAGCTCCACATTTTGAATGAGCAATGGATTCTTTCTTATCAAAAAACACATCCATAGCCATTTGAGCCTGAAGAACAAGCAGGTCAGACTAATTTCTACAGTGTTTCTATACTAAGGGCATGATCCCACCAGGTGAACTGGCAGTTACTGTGTGTCTAGAGGTTGGCCAGAAATCAAAACTGGCAGATGGAGATGGAGGAGGGAGGAAGGTGGAAGGAGCTTACACCTGTAGGAGCAGAAAAATAGGGGAAATATTGTTTTAGAGGTAAAAGATCAATGGCTGGAAATTATTACATAAAATGTATAGAATAGGTTCAAGGGTAAACAATCCTTTATTATCCAAAACCACATTTAATTTTTAAAATGGAAACTCTCCAAAGAAACATGCAATTAAAAAAAAGAGAGAAAAACACTTGGCAAAAAATGTTCATTCTGAAATTTGCAGAAAAAAATATGGAAAATGAGAAATGGGCTTGCTTATGGAAGGGGTAGTAGTTGGTGGCTCTGGAATCCTGAAAGATTAAGAGGTAAGCCAGCAAAAGATGAAGGAACGATGAAGTTGAGTTCCACTTACATTTCGTTAAACAACAGAAGTGTGAGGTGTTAAAAGTTCTTGTGACTTTATAATGTGCTATGTAGTTACTAAGGGGGACAAAACCCATAAGAGAGTTTATGTGTTTAGAGAAAGGAAAAGAAAGGCAAAGTCTTGCACCTGTGTTCCCTGCCCCTCAAAGGTCTGGGGAAGAGAAAAAGCAGTGGAGGGCAGAAACTAAGAAGGGGCCAAGAGAAAGAGGACAAAGATGGGGGACCCTGCCCCAGGCCCCAGAAGTGATCACTCACGTCCGGAAAGTATGAGCTCAGGTGAGTCTCCAAACCCCAGTCACTTCACACACTGCTTGAGAATTCTGGCTCTGTGGCTAGCCACCATGAGCCAGACTGACTTGCATGGTTTGGACTCTGTGTTCAACTCTTCTCGATAGTGGATCTCAGCCTCCTCCTAGAGTCTGGGCTAAGCACCATCTTCAAAGTCAGTTTTGAATCCTGGATCTCCTATCAACTACAATGTGCTCTTGCACAGATCACTTCTCCTATTTCTCCATCTGCAAAGTAGAATCCTAATACCTACCTCACAGGGCAGTAGTGAGCATTAAATGGGACTGTACCTCTAAAGGACTCTGCCTGGTCCCTAAGAAAGTCACTCTGTAATGATGGCTAATACTATATATTCTGAATAGTTTTTACAAGTGATAATGAAAATGAGCTCATCATCGGTTTCTGCAGCTTTTTAATATAATGCAGAATCTTTGAACTTTGTACACGTAAAGCTACAGTTAGTCATGATGTAAATTCCAGCTGTGTGACCTTGGGCAACTTACTTAACCTCTCTATGCCTCTTAACTTATCTATAAAAGATAGTTAATAATAGAACCAATCTTACAGAATTGATGTTAGGATTGAATTAGTTATTCTTTGTAAAGCATTTAGATCTATGCCTGGCATACATTAAATGCAATATAGGTGCTTGTTTAGATAAACAAAATGACCTGTTGCAATTATCCAGGATGTAGATTAGCCACTCTCCTTCTGCCCACGTTTGCTTTGTCTCCCTGCTCTTCAGTGCTTGTCCCATAGAGTGAGCAGGGACAGGGAGAAGGAGGATAAATTCAAAGGAGTTCCTTTTGCCTTTGATATCGGAGCATCTAAGTTTGAAATATTGGAGACAGAAGGCAAAAAAAGGCTGCTCAGGGCCTTACTGGATAGTAAATTTGATGGTTTCATTGTAATTTGAAGTTCAGTTTGACAGTTACAGACACGTATTTTAAAGTGCTAATTTCCAGGGGATGCTTCACTTTTCCGGTGACTGAATATTTGCATTCACTATCCAGGACCCTTCCCTTCCTAGTACTGAGGTATTTGAGAAGACAAATTAATAATCATGATATTTCCTTCCAAGAACATAGAAGCAGAACAATATTCCTCTACTCTCTAGGTCCTTCTGGATGGTCTAAGAATTAAATTGACATGAGACAGAATAGCAGGAGAAAACCAAACAAAGTTTAATAACATGTATACATGGGAGAAACCCAGGAAGACTGAGAAACTCACCAGATTGGCTGAAGCCACCACCTTAAATATTGTCTTCAGTGAATGACAAAAGAGGATGTTGGGGTTATGTTTGGGGACTTCAAAAGGGAGGAAGATGGAAATGCAAATATTCGTTAAGCAAGTGTTTGCTGGGCCATCTAGAGAAAATGTGACCTGAGAGACAGAACTTTGATAAAAATAGACTTGCTTGTGCCTTTCTACACTTACTCACACTTATTTTACATTATACTATAGTTATCTTATGGTATTAGCCCGTTCCTGGAACAGGCCTTCTATGTTAAATTCTTTTAGGCTGTTAGGGGGAAGGTCAAAGTTTCTTTCAGAGTCTTTTGTTCTTAAAAATAATCAAAGCAAAGGGGCCGGCCAGGGGGCATAGCAGCTAAGTTCGAATGTTCTGCTTTGCTGGCCAGGGGTTCGCCAGTTCGGATCCTGGGTGTGGACCTATGCACCGCTTGGCAGGCCATGCTGTGGCAGGCGTCCACATATAAAGTAGAGGCAGATGGGCATGGATGTTAGCTCAGGGCCAGTCTTCCTCAGCAAAAAGAGGAAGATTGGTGGCAGA